AACCGGAAAGATTAGGAATTATGCGTAATAACTGAAACTTTCAGTTACTATGCATAATAACGGAAACGTTTAGGTAATATTGATAATAACTAACAGAGGAACAGGAATTATGCATAATACCTGAAACATTAGTCATTAAGCACATTGCCTAACATGTCCAGGTGATTTCACAAAAAACGGGACAAAATGAGCAAATCAGGTTCTCATAGATCAATGAAAAGCAATGGGAATATGACGTTCATGTTACTGTAATTTGTCCCGTTTTTACTTCCCGAGCGTAAGCAAAGGAAGTATTGTAATCGAGTCCGTCGGCCGACTCTCTACTTTTACGTTTTCTCGATCTTTCATGACCCCTAGAGGACGAAGAAATAGGTCTCCCGTTTCCGTCTGTCTGTCCATCTGTCCGTCTGTTGGTCTGTCCGTCTGTCTGTCTGTCTGCCGTCCCGGATTTTTATTAGACAGATAATCTCCGAAAGTACCGGACTGATTGTTGTGAAATTTTGTACTTACATTAGGAATATCATGTAGATGGTAAAACGCTAACCAAAATTTGTCTAATCAGCAGCCCCACCACTAATGCGATGACGTCAAAATTGTACATAGTAAATGGGTTTTAAATTGTATAAAATAACATAGTCCTACACATGTAGTTTACGACTCCGAATTGAGTTTTTACCCGAAACGTCCAGATTTTTGGAAAAAAAGTCAAAATTATAAAGCAACATTTTGCAATTAAATTTTGAATCTGCAAAACCGAATGCTTTGAAATCTTGCAGATAGTTTACAGTTATGATAAGCATGGTAAATTTTTAGTCAAAATATATTTGCTTGTCCCCTCCAAAAAATTGATGACGTCAGCTCAAAAGTTTGCCAAATAAATCCTATCTAAAATGTACAAACTATGAAGAGTCTATACTTGTGATTTATCATTCCATTCATATTTTTTTGATTTGCATATACAGGGTGACTCAAAAAATTAATGAATGTGTGAATTTATTTTATTGATTTAATTAGGAACTACAAAACCGAATGCTTTGAAATCTTGAATATGTTTTACAGTTACCATAGGCATGGTAAATTTTTAGTCAAAATGTCTTTGCTTCTCGCCCCTAAAAAATGTATGACGTCACCTGAAAATTTTGCTGAATAAATCCTATTTCAAATGTGCAAAATATGTTGAGTCTGTATTTGTGATTTATCATTCCATTCATATTTTTTGAATTTGCATGTACAGGGTGACTCAAAAAAATTAATGAATGCGTGAATTTATTTTATTAATTAAACCGATTATTTTGAAATCTTGGAAATGTTTTAAATTTATCATAAGTATGGTAAGATTTTTAATCAAAATATATTTGCTTTCTAAAATTGATGACGTCACCTTAAAATTTTACTGAACAAATCCTATCCTAAATGTGTAAAGAATCATGACTCTATACTTGTGATTTATCACTGCATTAATATTTTGTAGATTTGCTTATACGGGATGTCTGAAAAAAATTAATGACTGACTCAATTAAGTGGATTAAATCAAGAATTACAAAACTAAATACTTTGAAGTACTATATACTTGGCAAATTATTAATCAAAATAAATCTGTTTATTTTCCTCACAAAACGTTATCTCAAAATTTTGCCCAATAAATTCTACCCAAAATTATGTCGATTGTAACTTACTAGTTAATTGTTTTGATCCTCTGTTTTGAGGGGACGAACTCATTCAAATCAAACTAATTTCTACGTGACATTTTTTCGATGCATAAACATAAACACAAGTTGTTTTTCTTATCGAGGGTAAGCTAAGGACGTTCAGTAATGGAGTCCATTGGGCAATTTGTTACTTTCAAATTTTCTCGACATTTCATAACCCCTAGACAAGGCCGTATCTAGGGGGAGGTTAGGGGATGCTCCCCTAGATCTAGACGAGTTATAATTAACCAAATATGAATTACAGCATCCAAAAACCGAATAAAATGTAGTGTTTTATTCAATAAACGTAAATCAGAGCAATAAAAAAGTCTGGTCCGTCGGCATTGTCATCCGGTTATTCCAATTCGTGGAAAACATGTTTTAGTTTAGTTTATGTTTCACCGTCACGTCTACAAGTTGATAAGTGTTATGGCTATTTGTCTTAAATTACAAGTACTATACAGGATGTTCCTTTTATCTGTTCACGCCTGACAATTTTTGCATAGGCGACATATTATACACCCCAGAGACGACTTCGTTTTTAATAAGCAATCATAGGAATCACAAAAAAAAGACAAAGATGTCAATGCCAAATAATGATAAAATTGAAAAAATTAATACTTACTCAATTTTTATTTTAAAATGTCCCGCTACCAAAATGTAATACGAAAAAAACACAATAGGCATGCAGTCGTCACGTTTCCGACAGCGAGGGAAGTACTGTCTAAACTCGTTAGACCAATGTTTTTTTTTTAAATCAAATGTACATGTGATATGTAGGGTAAAGCGAGGCAGGGTGGGTAGCTTTTTTGAAAATATTATGCATAATTCCTGTTCCTCTGTTAGTTATTATCAGTATTACCTAAACGTTTCCGTTATTATGCATAATAACTGAAAATTTCAGTTATTACGCATAATCCCTAATCTTTTCGGTTATTATGCATAATAACTGACAAGTTTAGTTATTACGCATAATTCCTAAAATGTCTAGTTATTATGCATAATAACGGATTTCGGATATTAGCTGTAACATATACATTAACGGTTCCCGCTTAGTCAAAGTATGCACCAAATAATAGATGGTGACATAACCTCACATTGTAACTACTGATGTTTTAGCGGTATTTGTGACTTATTATTGTTTTTGTGTGGTGTGTAGTACATATTAAGTGTTAGTTTAATATTATCTACAATGGATAAAACTGCAATAAAAACAAAGTTTTATGAACGCATTGAAAAACCCCGCAAAAACCCAACAGTTTTCGGATGAATTTAGAAAAATATCCAAAGTTAAAGGCAGAAGTGAAAAATGCAATATGCAATATGCAATTAAATATTTCTTTTTATTGAAGCTTTGACTAACAGACTGCAGTAAATGCATACACTGTCTAATGAATGTATACATTTACTAGTAAAAGTATCCATTTCCATGCGCAGTGAATACAGAATACTTTGGCTAAAACCGTACGTCAATGTATACATTGACTAGTCAGTGTATACATTCGCTGAAATGTACGCTTTGACTGTAACATATATATATACCCGAAAAAAGGTTCGCCATGAAGAACAAATATGTACAAATTTTACATATTTGTGAAGTGTTTATGTGACAAAATAATTTTAAATTTTCTAAGCCTCAAAAGTCGATTATTTATGTAATCTCAAAAAAATATATTAATAAGAGCGATGTTTGGTATAATCTATTTACAAAGTAATACTTGGCTTATAAAAGTGTCAGCGGAAATTTTTGTGAAGGATTTTGAATCCATTACTAATAAATAAATAAAACACTTAAATGATTTCATCAGGATGTTCGTCAGTGATTAGATAAAAGCACTTTTTCGTTTGTTTGCTCGATCATCTAAAAATTTCTTTTCAAAATATTTCCGTTATATTAAAATTCGATGACGTCGCTCAGTTATTTAGTAAATTTTGTTTCATAAGCATATGAAGATAGAACATGAAATTAATTAAGATTCCACCGTTACTTATGAATTTGTTGAGTATACCAACGTCTCAATTACTTTATTATTATTATTCTGCAAAAATGGGGACAATTTTCTAAACAACTTCACAGAATTTTAATTGAAACGACATATCTAGCACAGATTTATGCAGTTTTTTTTAGCTTTGGAGTCTAACTTCATGTGCCAATTTTTAGATTGAGTTTTGTTTAAAAACTAACAAAGCATAATAACTATCTACTATCAACATTAAAAAATCAAAATTACCGCAACAAACATTGGTCAAGTTCATAAGAAAACTTTAAGTTCTCAAATTAATTATCTTGTTATTATTTCCTTGTTGACTGTTATCAGTACTATTTATAAAAAGTTTTCACTTTATAGTTCAATTATTGTACATATTACTAAGATTGTTGTTAGTCATTAGAATTTCTACTGTCTACGTAAATCTTAGATTTGCACCATATATAGTTCCTTGACTTTCCTTGTTTAAACGAAACAGACAATACTATATCAGTTGCAAAATATTTATCATTTCATCATGTGTAAGCTGTTTTTCACTAGACAAAAATTAAACGGATGCTTTACAAAATCTTATAGTATTAAACGAGCAATTCTTGTATATAAATATATAGGTAATAGGTATATACCGGGTGTCTGGAAAATGGCTGATTAACTCTCCGATACGCTCTTAACAATCAACTGGTGAGTCTGGGAAAAATAGTGAAAAAATTCCTTCTCACATTTTGGTCGAGTTAAAATAATTTTAAAATTGATTCTTTTGCTACGTTTAACAACTAAACAACTCTTTCATTATCACAGTAACTAGTACCTAATAACATTTTTAGTTAGTATTTCTCTCTCCCATGACCATGTTTAATTACCTGTAATGTACTCGTAATTTCTACATATTTTTTCATTAAACACAATTGTCTTTCTCTTCGTATAGGTGTTGGGTATTTTCCTTGTACTCATTAAAATATCATCAAATGTATTAGTTTTAGGCGTCTTGTTCCCTTCACCTCATTAACTAAATATTATAAAAGTAGAAAAAACCAAATGTAAGACAGAACCGTTAAGAACGTCGCGCGAACAATATTCAGTCGCTGTATTTATGGAAAGCTATAAAATAAAAATCCATCAGTAGTGCAAGTGTTGATTAATTGTCCCTAGTTATCCCATTACATACCATTGCAGTTAGAATGGACAAAGATATGGCTATGTTGTTTTTGTAATAATCTGATAAAATTCCATTTGACAACAATAATGTTTATCTGATATAAAGCGAAGGATTTCAGTCACCATCGTTACTAAGAAACCAGAAAGTAGGCCGGAGGTATTCACGCATTAGGTGTGTGCAGTGTTGCCAGTTTTACTTTTATAAAATTACGTTTTTTTTTCGTAATCTATATCATAAAGAATTTTTTTTATTATTTTTTCGGGACTCCCGTAACCCCCGTAAATAAGGTACTGAAGAGTTAATCCGCCATTTTCCAGACACGCGGTATAATGGGTTTCTCGAAAACGGCTCTAACGATTTCGATGAAATTTATAGGTTGGGGGTTTTTTGGGTCAAGAAATCGATTGATCATAGTATTAACTTCTGAAAATTACAGCTGCATACATTTTCAGCAGTTTTCAGGCATTGAATTATCTTCGTTGTTAGGTAACATCAGACCGAACGAGATTGTTTTAGAGAAGTCTGGGTGACAGTACGTTTGACGTACCTTTTTATCTTCAACTGTACGTACCGAAACATACTCCACTGCATAAGTAGAGGACGTTAAAATTCACCTTCTGAGGTGGGAAAATTTACGGAAAACTCAACAGTGAGCGGATAAAAGGCACACGAAAGCATTAATTTCGGAGTTTTGGAGGCTTCCACGGTCGGAATCAATATATTGTCACATTAGATTTTTTGAGTTTTATAGTTTCGACATTCCTCTCTTCGGGAAATGGCCCAGCCGCGAGTTACGGCGGGAGACCGGGGAGACCATAATGCTGAGCTTGCCATAGATTGATGAACTGTGATTTTGCAAGCTCAGCACCAGGGAGTCTTCCTCGGCTCGTGCCGGAGCTCCGGAAGGCAGAGTGTGTGTGGTGGCCCACGGCGACAACACGAGTAGTAGGTGAGTAGTTCCTTTTTTTTTTATAAATTCATTTCGGTTATTTTCAAATAAATAGATCTTAAGTTTTTTTCTAAAATTTTTGAAGTTTTATTTTTTTCGGAGTGTGGGTTCTTTTTTTTTTGAAGATTTTTGGGGGCACGTGACAATATGGTCGTTTTCCGTGTTGGGACCGTGTTAATTGAGTTTTTGGACTCAACGTTTCGCACACTTTCGTAAGTGGCATCTTCAGGAGCAGGATTGAGAAATTAGAAATAAGGCAAAAGAGCACGGCACCTCAGTATGTCAAAACGAACTAGTTAGAAATACTGCTTCTTTCAAATCGTTTCTAAGGTTGGTAATTTTAATTAGGTAATAGTCAGAAAATCGCAGTTGTAGGAAAATTAATTAGTTGTTGCAGACAGAAAAATATATGTTTTACTATGCTTTACTTAAGTAATAATCTTGGGTTAATTCTTCGGTCAATACCATTGTAACATGTTTCAAATTATGATTTTTGAAACTATACATTTTTCATTATATTATTTAGCCTTATATTTGTAATAACATTTTTATTTCGCAAATACAAAGCGTATTGTAAGACGGCCCATTTGACGAATAATTTCGTGTTTCATCGCGTTTAACGACTTACGGAATATGGAAATATCGCTAACTCGCCTTATTCTAATTTTACTGTCGATTTTGTCAGACAAGATTCTAGAAACTACTGAAGTGGTTGTTGTGAAATTAAATGTAAAAGATACTCTGCTAAAATTTATCTCTTATTGCGTAGATTGTATTTAAAGTAAGCAGATTAATATGCTTCTACAACTCTGGTTTATTAGTCCACTTTATTTTTAAGTTTGTACATGTAAGGCTTCGTAAAAAAAAACAAAATTTAAAACTAAACTTTACAGTTCATTTCAAAACCATTTTTTTTTATTTTTCGCATACTTTCAGGTTGTAGTGAATTGATTGGTTAATAAGAATTTTTTGTTTATCACAATCTTTTATCACAAGCAGAGACGGATAGGATAGGAAAAATTTACGGACGCAAGTGGAAGGTTTAACAAATTCTGCTGAATTTAAGATTATAGAAAAGTTGGACGAGGGTGCCGGCGCGTGGATGTACCATGGCCACGATTTTCAGATAGTTCCATTCACCCATGATAACAACTGAAAATTCTATAACATCTTCTCAAAATTTTGTTTTCATGAAATTTGTATATGGAAGTATTATAGGGCGCTTAAAATTGTTGTGAAGATAAGATATACAAAATAAGTTGTAAAACAAAAAAAATATTTATTGCTTGGCGTCAACTTGGCTTATTTATTTCTATGTTATCTTTTCATGATATCTTTTATCATTGATCTTAATTAATTACAGTCTTAAGTAAATGTCTTTGTTGCTCTATTTATATTTTATTATCTGATGTGATATTATAGAATTTCGTGAAAAAAGGCTTTGTAATATAATGTTATCTTCTTTAACCTTTCTACCTCCCTCTTATGTGTTTATTGATTATTATTGATTAAGACATGTTTTTTAGTACTTTGTAGTGTTTGATATCTACATTTACGAAATATGGGAATTTGATGATATGATCACCTCATGGTGCATGACCAACACAAATTGTAATCAGTAAATAGCTTAATTGAGGCGTAAATCAATACTTTTATAGAAACTTGCAATTTCAAAGTACTTTAATAAAATTTCACAAGATAATTCTTGTTTTGGCAGCTTGTGTTTAGATGTTGAAAAATACGTAATTTAAAGTACCAACTGTATTACTAAAATCCGGATGTTACAAGCTTTAATGGGATCTTAATAAACAGTGGGTAAAACACGGTTAACAATTGAAATAGATTTCAAAATTTTATTATGATTACCATGAGTAAAATTTATGCACTTTTTGTATTTCATACATTTGCAAAATATTTTAAATGTTATGCAAAATAGGGACAAAAATTAGAATAGGAAGTACTGAAAATGATTAACTGAAAATCGCAAGTAAAAATTCTATTTATTGTAGGTCTAAACAGGGTTAATATCTGACGAACTAGAGAAGTGAATTCTAAACTAAAACACAAAAGAGTTATTTATGATGTAATATACAAGAACAAAATAAAATTACTTCTAACATGAATATCATACGCGATTTTTATTCAAACACTATAAAAAGCGACAAAAACGCTTCATTATTATTATTAATTATTGCGAACGAGATGAACAACATCGGGGTAGATATGAACAAATTCCTGTAAGCGGCAACCGTTTATGCTGACGCCAGTAGTTCCCCGACCTCCGAGATGGTGGTGATGACATCACCGCCTTGGGCGACGCTGGAGGGGAATGAGAGGACGTCTACCACTTCGGACACAAGCTGCGGACGTTGTTAATCGTTTATATTTTCAAATAAATTCGTAAAAGACTTTTCTGGCTTATATTCCTAGAAATCGTCAGTTGGTTATTAGTTGCAAACAAAACTTCGCATAAATGTTTGAACACCTGGGCATAAAGTGACACTAATAAGCGTTTCATGACTAACTCAACTTTTAGTTTTTTTAGTTTGTATAAAAAAATCTTCTTCTTTCTTTCCTTGCGAGAGTACATACAATTATTATTTTATATTGTAAATATCATTTTTAACCTACCTCCCTTAACAAATTCCATTAAAAATTAACTTGCTACATTTAGTAAAGACTAATAATACCCTCTAACATGCACACAGAGTTGAACACGCCTCACGGACGAAGAAAGTTTTGTTTAAATACCTTTGGAGCAATTTTTTAATGTTTCATTTATTGATTTTATTGTATTTAAACAACATTCAAGGATTAGTATATTATTTTATAAGGAGCAAAAGTGAAACTTTTTGCGGTGAGTCTGTAGAAGGGTGGCCGACAAATACAGACGGACCACAAAAAGTCACTTTTCTCCGAATAAAAAAAACTATTTTTTCTTTAAACGTCTGCAATTAAATTAAAGAAGTAATTTAAAAAATGGAATTATCAATTTTTTTAAATCAATGAATTAAGTTAACTGTTACTATGGTTTCATTGTCTAGGACAAAATTTCAAAAAACAGGTTGCGCGTAAATATCGCTTAATTTATTTATTATCTCTCATTAATAGAGAAATATTTGCCACAGAAATTTTTGGCAGGCTTCTATGTTTTACGTTTAAATGTCTGAAAGTCTGAACATGAAAGTAGTCAGTCTCTCAATGGACCTTTTTACAATAGTTGTTCTTTGCTTACATTCGAAAAGTGAAAAAGGCAAGCTATTATGTGTAACCTTGATACAGATCACTGATTCAAAACTTGCGCAAAACTCGAGATGTAGGATTAGATAAATTAAAGTATTAAAAGATAGGACCAAGTTTTTTGATTCCTCTGTTATTGTGTAAACCTTGTAATTAAAACAAGTATCTTAGAAGATAATTATGAATATTTTAAAACAGAATAAAATGGTTTTATTCTTATTAATTATTTCATCGGTGTTTTTGTTCGGCATTCGTGCACTTGAAGACGAGACTATAATTACACGTCTGGTAAATACAACCCATATCTATTGTGTTGGTGACAAAAATGTCAATTCAGCAATATCTACCTATCCACCTTTAGTAGAGCTTCAACATGCCGAAAATTTATTAGAGTCTGGAACCTGGGAAAACGACGACTGGATCACAAAAGATTCGAGTAACATCATATCACCAGTAACCGATAAAAGATGGGAAGGTATGTTATATTTGTAATGAAAATATTAGCAATACAATCACGGTTCAAAAAGTCAAACTAGTTTTTTGTAGTATGAGTGACTTACAACAGAATTTTACCATACAAAAAGAATTTGAGCCATGAACTTGTGTGATGCTTTGTCTAACACTTTTAATTTTAAGAGTTAGGATATGAAGTAATGATAATTTTTAATTTGATATTTTTTTATCATATTTCTACAGTACTTGTGAGTCAGCTCTGTTTTATAATTTTTCAAAGAAGCAGGATTCTGTTGTAGGCTACTATTCAACTTGCTCATAGCTCTATAAGCGGCAACATTTTTAATGAAAAACGAAAACCAAGTTCGGTTACGTTACGTGTTTTTTGCAACCCTAGAACCTCCTGCCTTTCTTACTTTAAAATTTGTGGTTGGAAGACTCTCAGTAACTCAGGTTCTACTATGACAAACATTTTCTTTCATGTCTATATTTTGAATTGTCTTGACGCTTGCGTAAGATTCTATTTTGGATTGACAGAGGTGTCAGAAATCATAAAATACTCAGTTCTGTCACTCTCACTGTACAACATTTACTTGTTATTATTATTACTGTCGTCCATTATTTTTTCAATTCCTAAAATTGTTAGAGGTATAGGTGAAATTTTATGTTAGTAACCCAAAGGAATAGGTGGTGGATTTAAAAAAATAAATAAATAAAACTAGGCGTGTGTATGATACCTGAAGTAGATTTTATTGATTGAAGTATACTATTTTTCAGATTTTGGTTTGATTAAATCAAATTATTTCTACTTTACCAATGCGACTTCTGCAATTTTCTCGCTTTACGGTGCAGAAAATATTGAAATTTTTGGGGACGATGGAGAATCACTTGACTATGTAAAACAATCACTCAATAACACCGAAGAATGGAACACGTTCACCATTTTTTTTAAAGATAACTACATAAATTATTTCATCAATAACAATCACATCAGAAGACATCCATTAAAACCTACACATCTGGCGTTGAAAACTGAAGAGGAAGCATACTTTAAAATGCACAATTGTAAGTAATAATAATAATTTATCAATCGCGTAAGTTGCAAATTTAAAATTGTCAACAAAAAGAACACCGAAAACCCTAAATATTTCAAATGGCTGTTAAATTTTAATACAAATAAAAGTATTTGCATCTAGTTTTAAAAAAGTTGAACTACATTGTATTAAGATTTTAAGTAACAGTCATCAAAAAACAAAACGCAGGCGGTTTCTTAAAATAAAATTCTTACTAAAAAAGTTCATAATCACTATTTAAAAATATCATAAAAACACGATTAGTACTATTTTAGTTAAAAAAAACTGCATGTGATATCATTACCCATTTCCACTTACCCCCGGTTATAGCCCCTCTATTGAATTTGACAAATTCGCTAACATTTTGATGTCAGTTTCAGTTTATAAAGATGATTATTACATAACCCCACGCTCCTCGATTTCACTTCAGAAATAATGTTTTATTAATACATGTCTGTTATTCTTCAGATAAATACAAAGAAGCAACTGATGTTACAAATACAAGAAGTGGTCCTACGTCTTTGAAGATTCCTCCGGTCAGTAATTCTGCTCTTATTCTCTACATTTCTTTGTGTAGATCATGTGTACTAGAAGTTGAATATGACGGTAAAATTAAGAACATTCCTTCACATATCAAAGAAACTACTGATGTGTTCGACGAATGGCAGGAGTTCAAAATCAATATAAATTCTTCTAAAACAAGTCAGGTGAATTTTACTAGAAAAAAGAACAACCAAACAGAAGACGGATATTGGAGACTCGATGCAAGACTCTATAACAACGAATACAATGTGGGTAAGTTGTTGAAAATTATCAGAATGTCGTCAAAATTAATCACGAAGCGGTGATCAAAAAATATTTTCTTTTTGATTTTTGAATTAATTCATCTATTTTACTAACTCTGAATACAAAAATTAGTAAAACGTTAAATTAAATTTTCTTTTCAGTGGCGTATAATATACCTAATGACATCAAACCCGAGGACGTACGCTGTAAATATTTGCAACCATCAAACACTGAGAAACCAAATAGAGCGAAACGAAGAGCGAACCCATCAGACTCTTCTACAGATGATATCGCTAAGTGTCTCTTAGGCATGGCTGATAAGTGCGACATCAGTTGTGCGAGTATTTTAGGAGATCGGTATTCACAATGTCAAGGACATAAGATTTGCGATGTGGAGGGTTGTAAGTGTCATCCGTGTTACACAGGCGATTGGTGTAACAAAAGTATGTATTTTTTTTAATTTCATATGTCATGAATAATATTTAACAAATCACAGGGGATGATACTGAAAGTGTGTGTCAAGTGCACCATGAATCTTTCCTAGATGATACAATTAAAGGTATGTAAAAGATAATTCATGTTTGGGATAATGCATGTATCTAAATCTAAAAATGAATGTCAAGAGAGTAATACTAATAGTGTTTCGAATAAAAACCATCAGGATTTCATAATGTTTGGACATTAATTTTGTTTAAACATTTGATAAGAAAAACTAAAAACCAAGATGTTAGAGAGACAAATCTAATTTGAAGATAACCAAGACGTCATAACGATATGTAATGACACCTTTGTTATTCTAGTCTTTGAGAAATATTTTTCAAAAAAATTATTTTTATCAAAAATTATACATAATAAAGATTCTACGTTAGGACAAGTGACAAAATAAATGTAGTTCAGAGATAATAATTAATAAAAGCATATTATACTCCTCCAGCACCAAAACAGAGGCGTGGACCGTTCGAACAGTTGTGACCTGGTCATAACATTGTTGAAGTAAAAAGTTGACAACTTTATGTTGTTATTATATAATAATAGTAATAGCTTCTGCGATATATTCACATTTATAAATTAAAATACTCATGGTCATTGGAGGAAACCAGTTCTGCACCAACCTCGTAGTAGTTCTTGCTGAATTGTCCTCTTACATTGTTTATACTTTTTTGCACTCATGACCTTTTTTGATGGCTTTCGCGCATTCACCAGGATGCGGGAGTTCAAATTTCCTGCACACGTGTATTTTAACTTTCCGTTGCCATGGTAACCGTAAAATACTCGGGTAGTGTCAACATTGTTGACGTGTTGAGGGCGCTGTCAATGCCGTTGTTTATAAATAACTCACAGTTAATCTCTTCAGTTTAAAGATTTATTCGTTGCAAAAAAATATTGTACGCAACACGTTCGTGTTCGGCTATCCCGAACTAGTTGTGTAAATTACTATTGTGGATTATTCGTTGATAACCTTTTTACTTCCTGAGCGTCTGTCTGCCGTCACGTCTAGATTTTTGGAAAAAAAATAAAAATTATAAAACAACATGTTGCAATTTAATTTTGAATCTGCTGAACCGAATGCTTTAAAATCTTGCAGATGTTTTAAGGTTATAAAGACCATAATAAATTTTTAGCCGAAATATATTTACTTGTCACCTCCAAAATATTGATGACGTCAGCTCAAAATTTTGCTGAATAAATCATATCTAAGATGTGCAAAATATGATGAGTCTGTACTTGTGATTTATCATTCCATTAATATTTGTTAAATTTGCGTATACAGGTGACTCAAAAAAATTATCATTGTATTTCAGGAGCGAAGCAAGATCTGTCGAAACAATTTTCGACCAATTTTTTTACAGGGGTTACAGGAGGCTGGATGTCATGGTCCAACATAATTTTATGGGCGGTAGTATTAAGCGTGATCATAATCGAAGGAGCAAGGCGCATCAAAAATCGATATACTAGATTATCCACATTATCAGTGGAAGATGGTGAAGCGGAGGAGCAACTCTCTGCAAGTAACATGTCTTACACTGATAATAGCAACAAGACTTCTACAGACTCCGTGTGTAACTTTAATTTGAGACTTAAATAATTGCTGTCTTAACTGAACTCAGTGTGTGTCGAGGTCGTATGAACTTTCTTAATACCGTAACATATCTATAAACAAGTCACACTTTTTACAGAATCACGCAACAAACCATACGACAACATAGATGCTTTTTATTGTACTTAAAATTGTTAAACGATATTGTTATACAATAAATTTGAGTAAAATTTACCACAAAATGTTATTTATAAGCTTCCTCTTCACTGTAAAGGTCGTTGATTTTTACACAATAGACCCGATTTTTTTACTGCTGTATAACTTTTAAAATTATTGCGATCTATTGTTTGTAAATAAGGTAGAATACATGTTTTATTCTTCTCTTTCAACTATGTGCACAAAATTATGAAACCCGCGAAAATTTAAAATTTGGACATACGCTGTGATCGTCAATAAAATGGAACCCTACTTCGTGTTTGAAACCATGAAATACGTTCAAATTACGAAGTAGTGAATCCTAATGGTGTAAAAATGACCTTAAATTAAAAACATAACATATATATGTAGGGAACATATTTTATTAATTTTTTCAAGGGCTGTAGAAAAATCTCTTCCCTCACTGGAGGAAAAAAATTCTACGAAATATAACGTATTTAACAAAAGTTTTGGGAAAAATTAACATCTTGGAACTCTATCCAGTTATGCAACAGTAGATTTTGGAATCTTAACTCTTTTCCGATATTTTAAGTTGTTTCTGGCCAATTCTCAAGAAAGTGTCATATGAGAAACTCTGAATTGTCGACTCAGTCTTCTTGTACACTTCCTACCTTATCTTTAACGGCTGTCTTCAATCTTTCCAATCTTCTTCTATATACAGCGTGTTATTGAAAGGTACGTACAAAATAAAATCGGCAATTGGTCTTGAAGTATGGGTGCTAAAAGTTAAATAAAATTCAGGTAAAAGTGTTCTTCTTTAAGAGATAAAAATTATTAAAATTTATGTCCTAACTCGTTGTACGCCTCTGATAAGAAGATCATCTCTCGTTTCTATAGCAACATTTAGTCTTAACAAAAGTTTTATTGTTACAGTTGCTAGGATTTACTAAAATAAATTAATTTTACCTATTCATCCTTCAGTGGCGTCTAAAAAGGTTGGATAAGGGTTGATTTTCCCCTCATCATTTTGATAACACAAAATCAGTTTTTCAGACTTCTTAGACTTCGCGAAGAACTGTCGATTTTGTTGTACGTACCATTCAATAACACCCTGTATTCGTGGTCGACCGCGTTATTTGCAAATTACCACATGGTACTCCTTTCGCGCATTCTTTTATAGTCCGATAAATAGTTCGTTGTTTTTGAAATATTTTTATTTTCAAAAATGGTTACAATATCACGTTTGGCCATTTGGCCAACCAACTCAGATACTGCTTTTTCTACCTTGATTTTGTAACAGAGCTATTAAAGCACCCAAATAACGTCAAAGCGGTTCGTTAATACCGGAAAGGGGTTCTGAAATAGCCATGACGAGAAATGTCAGTGGCAAATGTCAAATTAAATAAAGTAAATAAACGTCAAAATAAAGTTAACGAGATTTGTTTGGCAATAAATTTTTATACTATTCTGTGCAATTTCCCGTATTTCGGGAGGCGTAAGGACTTCACTAACTTCTTCACAAGACATTTTAACCAATTTTAACTTACAAAAATTCGAATTGATTCGAATTACAATTGTTGTTGTGAAACTTCGAACTTCAAATGTTTCGTGGTTCGTGTCATACCAACCCATCACCAACCATGGCAAAATTCCCCATATTTTAAAAAAACTCAAATTTCAATTAAATTTTGTGAAAAAATGTGCGCGGTAGAAAAAATACTATAAATAACTCGTTCATAAGGCCATTGTGGCATTCCTCCTTTACATAACTCGCGGCTTCGCCATTCGTTCTATAAACTTGGATTTGTGCCTTAATATTTGCCTTATGAAACTCGTTCTTTAATATACTATTTGGTAATTCCATTTTGTAAGCTATGCTTTAAGAGTACGATGCTACAATGACATTTGTAAAACAAAACAGAAAATTATCATTTATAAATAAATTGGTATAAAAAAAATTCCCAAAACTGTTGTAACATTTTCTCAGCTGCAAACCCTTCTCATATTTTCAGAAACAAACGTTACAAATCCATATCACAAATAAGTATACAGCTTATGATAAAATTAATACAATAATTCCCTAATTAAGTAAATGGATGGTAATACTCAAGTTATCAAGGGTGGTGTGCAGTCAAAATTGTATGCAACGTGATCAACGAATATTGTTTGAGTTTGTAACAGAATTAACTAATTCTGAGATAATTTTCTTTTTGTTACCGAACCTGATTGAAATGATTGGTACTATTCACCATACCACTTGTAAGTTTTCAGCGACTAATAAAAAGTTGGGTTATGACATTTTAGTAATAATCTCAAGCAAAATGCATTGATATCAACAGAAACAGTACTTACAATAACGTGCTACCAAGCACAGGAAACGACACTGTCAAAATCTCAATATACAACCACCAATGATTCTAAAATCTGAATAAATGTTCAAAACTCAGGTTGTAGAATAATCACACAAATAACACTAGTTTACAAATTTAAACTTTTTTTCGTATCCAAAAATAAAAAAAATATTTTTTACTTCTAAATTACTTGCTGATAACAAATCCAAAAACGGATTATCCTTGTCACGTCAGGTTTTTTCATAAATCAAAAATAATGAACTCTGCTCTTACCTTCACGTTAGTGTCAAACTGATTCATGTTAATGCACCATTGTCGCATAAAAAATGTCTTCGAGATCGTGCAAAGTAAGTGCAAATCAGTTTTGTTACGTTTATGGTAAAATTATAGTACCTAAAGCAAGACCCGTTCAAATATGCTTAAAAAGAAGGTATCAAGGATTTTGGGACGAAAATGTATTACTGTTGGTCTATTATAAGGGAAACTGTCAGTACTGTCAATAAAAGAAACGCTACTGTATATCATTTTTAATTTTCAGTCATAATGTTTATAATATATACTGGGTGTTGCTTTTATTGGATACAACCCCTGTAACTTCTTTATTCTTAAAGATAAACCTGTATTTCTTTGAGCAAATTTGTATCATTTTAAAAGATCTTTGTGAGGCTGTAGGCACCATGCGATTAGGCAACCAGATATACAGCTACCAAAATCACTACGCGCAAGAGCAGAACAGCCAAAAAAAAGCAACAGCAGTCGGAGGAGCAGGGGAAGCGCTCTCTCGCAACCATAGAATACCCTCCCTACAACCCAGCGCCTGAAGAGTGAAGACGTACAGTCCACCAGCGCTTCCGCGACATACTTTTATATTTTTTTGTAATTTTTGTTATAAGTCAAGTGTGCTTTTCGTAATGAATAAAGCCTTGTTAAAATTACTACAAGGCCAACCTCACATTTTTATTATCACTTCCCGTAGAAAAATCAAAAGCAACCAATTATTCTAAAATCAATACTTAAAAATTTTTAAATAAAACGTTAACATGTTATTTATTTACGTAAATGATCTTTTAAAATTATACAAATTTACTCAAAGAAATATATCTTCATATATATTTAAAAATAAAAACGTTACAAGAGTTGTATAAAAGAAAAGAAATACGGGGTATGTTTATATAAATATCTCAAAAACCTGACGTGATAGATTTTTTCTGCTTTCAGATTTGAATTTGCCGAACCCAAATCCTTTAGATTCAACTATTTTTGTCTTTGGATATAAAACCTTGTAAACTAGTGTAATTAATATAACGTAAGCATAAAATATCCCTCCCATCTTCGAGTCCAGGATGATTTAAATTTAACTAATGACAATAACAATTTTGAAAGATTTTTCTATCAAAATGTATCGCTGTTTAAATTTAATGTTAAACGCTACTAGTGTACGTACCATTTTAAACTCTCGAATGATAAGCTACGAACTGTAAATTGTATCTGTTTCTGTATCTTTCTAAGCTCCTTTAGCTTACGCTAGGGCACCAACAAAAACTTGTTTCGCCATTTTTAAGTGAGACCATTCGTGCTTTTATACAACATTTTTCGCTTACATTGACTTTAATGCTGTGGTTAACATTTTTTTTTGTAAGACATGTCAAATTCACAAATCTCTTACTGTATCTGTATATTTTTAAAGGGGATTGAGTGAAGGTTTATACAATCAGATAAATTTATCTAGCGACTTGTGGAATTATTGCTCATCTTATCAGTTTAGAGATACGAAGATAGGTTTAGTCATAATCGAAAATATTTTTACTTTATACTTACTTTAAGCTAATTTAACAAATATGTGAGTGCTTCTGTTAAACCTAAATAAAGATCCAGGTATGTAGCAATTCTGTTAAGAAGTAATGTAATATACTAATAGGTAATACTAATCAATGCGCACAAGTGACGGGTAGTATATGACGCTATGTGTTTATCACGTTTATCATACAAATTAATCGGTTTGTTACTGTTTGTTGTCTTTATGATTAGGATTTACAAGAACGAAGGTGAAGAAAAAGTTCAGGAATAAGATATATGTATTTGTAAATAAGGTTAGTGATATGTGAGTGTATTACTCTGTCTAATAAAAACTGGACGGCAGACAGACGAACGGATAAACGCAGACCTATTTTTTCGTACTCTAGTAATCATGAAACGTCGAGAAAAGTAGTCAGTCCCGATGAACAGAATACAATACAATAAAAATTTGGACCCGGTCCGAATAACGTCTTCCGTCACTTCTTTTACACCTTTTTCTGACGTCCACTGATTAAAAGCCACGTACACCTTCTCATAAGCGTTTTTTGATTTTGCGGGTAATAATTTGGTGCGTAATTCATTGGCTTTTTCTAATATTCCGTTTGAAAGGCGTTCACACATTTTGACGAACAAAATTTGTTTTCAAAATTTGTTGATACTATTACCATGACTACTACCCACGGCAGCCTCAAGAAACATTTTGCCTCAAAAAAATCTCCCGATAAAATATTAATAACAGACGATTTCGGATCAAATAAGCTTCAGTGTTAGAAAAAATATTGAAGATAACACGGTGTTTTATAGTTGAAAGGACTCGGTCCCATTAAAACCTCGCTCCCTTCGGTCGCTCGGATTTAAACTGGGACCGCGTCCTTTAAAGCACCTATAAAACACCTAGTTATCTTAATAGCTATAGGTATTTGAGCCTACTTTATAATTGCCTAATTGCCTAAAATGAGAGTATGTGACCTAAAATTGATTTTTGTGACCTAAAACGTCCTAAACTTGCTGTTTTGCGGTAATTTCACAAAAATCCGCACAAGGGGTGAGCCGAAAGCAGACCTTTCCAGGAAAGAACATCAATAAAGTGGGGCAGTTCTTTGAAAGACATCTTGCGCGTTTACTTTCAATTGTAATACTTTATCTTACAAACAAGTTTGTAACACATTTTTATTAGTTCTTTTGTAAATGCACTTCTGCTAATCCCACTTGCCATATTTCTGACGTTCAGTTAAAATTGTGTCGTGGTGTAAGTTTGGTGTTCACTTGTGAAATATTCTTAAACATCCTGATGCCTAAAGAAAAAACCTCTAACACGGTTAAGTTTAACCACTGGCTCAAATCCATGGATGATGCCAGCGGATTATTCTGTAAAACATGTGGCAAAGTGGTAAGCATGTGATTACGATTTTCATTAATTTGTTGTTGTTTAAATAACATACCATCTTTTAATTTTAATGTTGAGTATTCAAGTTTAAGTGTGAAAAGATGTTTTATTTGGAACAGCATGAACAAGGAGACATTCACAAAAGAATGTAAAGAACCCATTGCGTCAAAGTTTGCGTCCATTACATCAATTGATGTAGAAATATCTTTTTCATGTTTAAAAAATATTTTTGCAGATAATCGCACATCAGTGACATGTGAAAATCTAGAGCGATATACCGGATGTCCCACGTAACACTTTCGGGCGCAATAACTGAGATATTTTTGAAGGGATTTTTATGAAATTTAAAACAGGTGTAATATAATAGGTAAAGATTAGGCTGATAACAAAAAAACTATTTTATCATACAAAAACACAGCTTCCTGTTGTTAAAAATTATTTAAAATTGCGTTATAACTTTAAGCAACTAAAATAACGCCTGTGCGCGGAAAATTAATTACATGACTGTTTTTGTTTAAAAGAATTACGTTAATAAAAACGCAAACATTAATTAATTTGATTTTTTAAATTTAATAGTGCTGTCGGCGCTAAACAATTGCCTGCGTCGCCGAGTTCAATTTTGTACACCCCTGAAATTTTTGTCAAAATCTGACAAATTATTGAAAATGGTTCGCTTTTCTGTAATTATTAAAACAGGAATCAATTTAACCTACGGAGAATGCCGTACAGACCTAAATGAAACAATCAGGACTCTTATCGAACGGTATCCCGATGACGAATTTATCAAATTCAAAGTACAGAGAATAATAAACTTATTTGAAGATACGGGAAGTGTACAAGACCTAAAACTGGTGAAAAAAACAAGCTGTTAAATACACCTAGCAAAATTATTTCCATTTAAATTAGAATTAATTCCTGAACCTAAAGCAATTTTGCACCTTCGAAAAGGTTGTAGCCGAGCAACTGAAAATTAGTATTTTCTTAAAATTCATAAAATAAGGCTTGGCAAACAGGTATCAAATTCCCGCAAGAGTGTCCAAAATGCGAGGATAGCAGTTTTTTGTTTCATAGCTACCTATCCTTTAATACTTAATTTATCGTTTTTTGTCTAACCAGACGTATTTCGGAGATGAATTCTTGCATACAGTATTTATTTTTCATGTTTAATCAAGTAATGCAAAACTTACTTAATTCAAAATTAAATTAAGGCATGGAAAATTTACTTTTTAAAGATAATGATTATTCTCACCGGTTTATATTAATTCCACCTATCGAAATACCTACATTTCAAATTTCATAACAATCCGTTCAAAAATACCTGAGTTATTGTGCCCGAAAGTGTTACGTTAAGTGCGAATGTCCGCTTGAATAAATTATTTATTATAGTCTTACCAGTATATTCAAAACTATAAATAATTAAATGTTTGTATTATGTTAATTAATACTGTGAATAACTGTTAAACAATATAAAGACTAAAAAAAACATTGTTTTAGTTGCTTTGAAATTTTGAAGATTTCAGATTTGTATCAACCTATTTGAACCTATTTCAACATTTTTATAACCTAATTTGAAGTTTTTTAAAGCCTATTCTAGGCGCCTTTTTCGTCATTTTTTGTGACCTAAAATCCGGGCCCTAATTATCACCGTTAGGTCCACAGAGTGAATATAGAGTTATGTCTACCGCTTGAGGAGTGCTTGAAGAGTGAATGAATAGTGAATGAATAATGTTCCCTGTGTTCCAAGGTGGTGGTGGCCCTGGCTCCCACCCTTACGGGTGGAGAGGAGTGAAACAGGTCCCTGCCAGAGGCAGTAACAAGTATAGACTGATCAAATTTTACACATTTTGTACAAAATTTTGAGATGACGTCATCATTTTTTTTTTGGGAGCGGGTAAAAAATAAATTTTGTGTAAAGGGTTTGCGTTTCCGGGGTCGAATCACTTAACACGTACGGGTTCTTTTGTCGTTTTTAAACAAACTCACATTTAAATACTCAAGATGATTTTTATTTACAAGTCACGGTTCTCGATTTCTACCGCATTACAGTTCTATTATTAATATTGTTCTGTTCTGTTCTTACAATGAGTTTGGGGATATATATATAAAGGTTGCTATCAGTACAAATATTAGGTTCTAGTGTACTGGATCATCACATGATGTTCAAAAGTTTCCCATAATTACTAATTAGTTTAACAAAAGATAAATGCTAATGTGTATAGAACTACTATTAGAAATAATGTTGATGCAGTGTACATAACATTTGTTTAACGAGTTACCATGATTACGATAACCTTAACATATTTATAAGATTTCAGAACAATCGGTTTTGCAGTTTCAAAGTTATATTGCAAAATATTGTTATTCAGTTGTGAATTTTTTCAAAAAATTCTGGATGACAAAGGTGAAAATTCGACACGGATTCATACACCGAGCGTAAGAGTATATATTTTATAGAATTTAAAAAACTTTTTATTATAAGTTTTGGAAATGACGTCAATTCATTGGTGGTAGGTATGATTATCCAAATAATTTTATTTAGCATTTAACCATCTGCATGATATTCTTAATATATATACATAATGTGACAAGAATCGGTCCAGTAGGTTCGGAGATTAGGTACTTGTGTAATAAAAATGGATACAGACACCAGACTGCATGCTCGATCATAATCAGACTTTTAAGCATACATAATTTATACACTGGGAAGTTGGTACTACAAAAAACTTCAAATTTCATGACAAAAATGTCAAAATAAAATAAATAAAAATATCATGTTTTGAATGAAAATCATGATCGATGACGTTCAATGATGAACCTCAATTTTTTTTTGACAGCAAATTTTGGCACCAAAAATCTGTCTAGAAAATGTTGTCGGTTGAGTTTTCGTATCTATATGTTGCTGGTTGAATGTTTTTTTAATTTTTGAACAGATAACATTTCCTCCAATATAATTAGTTTTCTTTTATTTCTTCTATTACCTCTGAAAGTTTGTTCTTTCTTTACGGTTTCATTTTCGTTGGGTCCATATACAATGATTATTATTGTTGACTAAATGTTTCCAGCATTTTCTTTTCCATCAGTATGTTTTCTGTGATTGTTGAACAATCTTTCATGCTCCAGGTTTCACCACTTTCTTGCATTTTCCTTTCCGTCTCATAAAACCGTGTCTTTTTTCTTTGTTTTGTCTTCTTGTGATTTTCGATTGCACTTTTTTTCTGTTTTTAACTGTGTTTAGTTTGCTGTTAGTGCATTACTGTTTCACTTTCCCTATTTTTGATCATTTTAAAACGTTGTTAATCGTATTCCATAACCCTACCTGGCCCTTATTACTTTTTGCTGCGCTGCTGTTACATTATCCCGTTTTGCGTTTCCTTTTTTTCACTTTCTTCTTTAGCGACTCTGTAGGTACTTTCGTTGTTCACCTAGATTCATTTTAATCTGTTTAATAATCCGCACCAACAATGGGATGATGTCATCTCAAAAATTTACAAAAGTAAATATTGTTTAAATTTTTAAAATAATATACTCCTGCATTTGTGATTTATGAATTCGTCTTGATTTTTACATCAGGCATACATATTTCAACAACACAATACATACTTATATAAAACAACATTTTATAATTTAACTTTGAAATTTCCGAACCAAATTCTCATAATAATAACTACTCACCCAAAATAATAAACGTTTTGCGTTGTTGTATTAAACAGTTACTCCTAAAGAGAGAATCATACAAATTTCATTCTCCTTTAACACAAATACATGTCGTCGCTGATGCTTGTTATCTGAACGTGTTAATAGTTGAATTCTTTCCAACTATGAACATAAACAGCCAACGTTCAATATGTTCTGAGAGTACATTTTTCCCCTTTTTTATCAGCTTTACTTATAATTAACATTATCCTCACTTGTGCGAACCGCGCCTCCTTGAACTTACTTAATAGAGGTTATCTTAAAACAAAAATCGCAAAAGAATCCGAATTTGTTGGAAGGCGAGGGAAGTTCAGTCGAATTGACCTTCGACCAATTTTTTGATTCTCACATACACTTTTAAACGGTGACTCACGAAACTTTTTAATATGGTTTTCAATTTTTCTTCTCCTTGTGTTTCTAATTTGTCATTCTCTTTTATTCTTCTTTTTCTTAATTCTTTCGTTGTTTTTGACTTCATTAACATAAAATGAAAGACATTCTATAAATTGTACATTTTTACAGTTTTTGAAATGGCGTTTATATTTTCAGGGGGATAGCACCATGGAAGCTAGTTTTTCCCAAGCAAACGGTGGGCAAGAAAATCAAAGACTCAAACAACCAAATGGAGAAATAAAGCAAGAAGACGATAACCAATGTAGAAATAATGGAATTACGTCGCCATGTGAGGAAAACCATTCTTCCTTCCAAAAGGTACATAACCATGCACCCAATGCATTGTAGTTTATATTTTATATAAAAAATTGTATAGCATGAGGTCCAAAACAAAATCATACAAAATGTATTTTGTAGCATGCATAAAAAAATAAAATTTGAGACAAAAAGGACCGTACAAGACAATTTAGGTTTTTTAAAATAATTAACTGTAGACAATATAAATCTAAATAAAACTAATTTTTTCACATACAACTGAAAATTTACTGAGTGTTTAAATATTCGAAATTATGAGATTACAATTTAAAAATCTGTAACAGCTTTTTCAAATTATTGTCAATCAACACAAGATGTATTACGGAACTTTAATTTTCCGACATTAAGTTTTAATTAAATAAAAAACTGCCATTTCTTATCTCAACTTCTTCGGTTAGGATTTTTTTTTAATGAACGTCCAAGCATTTTAAAAATTATGCAGCTCTTGTGAAAAAAATTAATTGAGCAGCTTTCATTCGATTCATTTTCGTCCGGTTTAGGAACACATACTTGATTCGGATCCTACCAGTTATTTATCTATCTAGCTATGTATCTTACAAGACCATTTCGAAAAAACTTGAAATAGTGGATAAACCTGCCGGATTTCATCCAAAAAATCATCTTTTATTGTTTAAATTCAAACAACTAAAACATGGAAAGTTAAATATATCGTCTTGTTTTTAGTAAAACAAATAGTTCCAACAAAAATTCGAAATCTAGGGACCCTGAGACGAACTGATAACGTGATAATATGATAAATAGATAACATACAAGTACCTAAAACTTTTACGTGCTTGAATTTTTTACTTAGCTTTTACATAATAATAATAAGATAACATCTTTGGAATTGCGTACTTGTATTGTACACCGTAAAAAAGTCAATTTATCTAGTATGGATCATCTTATCGTCAACAGGCAACAGAAATAGTTACAAGAATAATCTTCAAATTTATACGTTTTCAGTTTACAGAGCCTCCATTCAAGACCTACGAAAAACTTGCGGGAACTGTTGATCAGGGAAGAGAATACGAACAAATGATGTGTGCATTGTATGCTTTAAAGTTGACTGCATCCGACGATGTGAAGGATTTTGAAATGACAACGAACAATAAAAATTTCGGAGCATTTAATGACATCGTCATTAAAGTTGAATTCAACGACGGAAGAACATGCACTTTTCTCTTTCAACTTAAACACAAAGAAGCTGCGAAACCTGTCAGGAAAACGGATTTGTGTGCCGGTAAACGTGACTTTGACATTGAAAAACATTTTAAATCTCTCACAGAGATCGTAAGTGAAGATACAGAGTGTATTCTATATACAAACTCTCCGGTAGATTTTAAAAGCAAGACCAGTGTAGAAATTGGGGAGAGCTTTGAAGTAGATAAGTGTGATTTTGTAGAATATAAAGAGCTGTTTTTAAACACAGCCTGTACAGAGCACAACATTTTCCGGGTCACGAAAAAATCCGGTGATAAACATCACAGGTTTTACTTTTTTGCTGGACAAGATAATTTCGAGCAGACCGAGCAAGACGTGCAACAAATGCTATGGCACTTGGTGCAGTGCGACATTTATGTCTCTTTTGCACACTTTATGAAAAAATGGTGGTCAAAAAATTATGTTCTAAATAAAGATGATGTCATTTCAACGTTAACACAGTTGTCACTTTCACCATACATCAAAAGTTTAAGTGACAAGAAAAAAAATCCGAAAACAGAATACCTTGCGGAGGCAATCATGAATTTTTCTACAACGATTGTAGAAAAAACTGACGAAGATATTGTCGAACACATTTGGTCGATAGAGGACATTTCACATAATGAAATTACTAAAGTCAAGGAAAAATTCGCAGTAGAAACTATACACCGTTCTAAGGTCTTATGGTACTTGAACAAGGTTCCTTTGATCGTAAAAATCGATGATACAAACAAAACTGTAATAAAAGCTGTGATGAACCTAATAAATAGAAGTGTCAATCAGAAGAAAATTATTGTAGTGGGAAGTGTCACGAGAAGCGAATTGACCGAAAGAGAAGTTTTCCAAGATTTGTCAGATCTAATTAAAAAATACCAAAAGGAAGCCTTCCTCCGAAATCTCTTAGAAAGTTTTGTGATTTCTATACAAGAAAAAGAATTAATTTGTTTGGAAAAATTCATAGGTAACAATTGTGAACTTGCAAAAGTTTTTAGAGTTGCCGATTTGCTGAAAATGTCGCAAACATGTTTGCATGTGGGTAAAAGACAGAAATTACCTAATTTACATATAACAAGCAGTGTTTCAACAATTTTTGTCAAGACTACGAATATTCACAGTATTTACGAATCACAAAAAAATCAAACAATGGTAATCATTAATTGTGATAAAACATATGTCGATGAATTGTCACAATACAAAAGATTTCATTGTGTTGAAATAGATGACTACTTGCAAGAAAGCCATAATGAAAGTAAAGATATTGTAATAGCTTCAACAAAAAGAAGATGTACATATGATGAATTCATCCACGTTTGTAACAAATCTAACAAGCTAAATGTATACCTGTTTCAAAAATTTGATGATGAATTGTCTGTGCTCCTCTTACGACAAGGAAATGAGTTATCAAGCTATTTTATTGAGGAACAAACGAATGTAAGACAAAAAGATATATTATTACACTATTTTGATAAACCAGTCAATGCAATTTGTGGTCCAACTGGTATTGGTAAATCAACACTAATGAAATACCTTTGCAATACGTGTCTTGAAAGCGATTGGGGAAGTTACGTTGATCTAGGAAAATGCAATTTATTGTTTTCAGAATGTCCAGACTTTGAAACAATGTTGAATTACTTTTTGAGAGATGGAAATTCGGAAGAAAAGACGACTGAAGAGAGAATTCAAACTATTTTGTGTAAGCATAAAAGATTAAATTTATATCTTGATGGTTTAAACGAAATTAGTTTTTCTTGTGCAAATATTGTGCTGGATTTCGTAAAACAAGCTTCATCAAGAGGAATTAGTGTATGGATTTCATCGAGAGATAATTTACGAGAAATGTTATCAAAAAGATACAATATTGTCCCAATCGAGATACATGGGTTTAGCAGAGAACAACAAAAAATATATATACAGGGAAAACTTGGACAAAAATATGCTAAAGCACAAATAGAGAAAATATTGGCTGTAATATTTACAAGTGTAGATTTTAACAATTGCCAAGAATTGTTAGAAATTCCTATCCTAATACAAATGATTACAGAAACATTTCTTGGTAATGACGACGCATACAAAACCATGGAAGAAAAAAATATACTCGTTTCAACGAAAATCCATCATTTGTTGTTGAAAGGAAAAGTAACACATGCCCTTAATAAAATAGTCAGTAAAGATATTTTAGATCAGCTTGACGTTATCTCCTCCGCACAATTAAAACAATACGAAGTTTCTGCTCTAAATGCATGCTTGGATGTAAATGATTTTCGAAATATAAAGCTGAATTTAAAAAAATTTAAAGATTTTACGAATAAAATAAAAAGTAATGGTGACAAGTACGGAATAATCAAAACAATAAGTGCAAATGGCGATCCAATATTTGAGCATCGTATTTGTGCGGAATACTTGACTTGTGTCTGGTTAAAAAAGCATAAAGATAAGACTTTGCTGCAAAAAGTAATGTTTGTTGAAAGATACAAAAATTTACGAGTTATTTTTGATTTATTACTGGCAGAGAACAGTCCGCTACATTTGTCTATTATTTCTAAGAATTTGGATCAGTTTGAAAAGTACAAAGATAAAATGAACACCAAAGATCGAGGAGGTCGAACGCCAATGCATATTATATGTACATACGGAATAGAATATCCGGACAATATTACGCGCATCCACAATCGAGAGTATTCTTGGTACATGACAATGGTAAAAGTACTCGTAAAGGAATGCACCAGCTTTGACAGCAAAGACGATCTACTTAATTACACTTGCTTGGATTACTGTCTTGAGGCGAATTGTTTGTACGTGTTGGAAGCAATTTTGGAAAATAAACTGGCCCATTTTAACGATATTAAGGAAAAGATTTTTAAACACTACAAACGAGAGACACTAGTGTACTATGCGGCACAAATGGGATATCCCTACTTGTTTTGTGCTCTAATTTTAGAAAAATCATCACTTATAAATAAAAAAATAGGCAATCAAACTTTGTTGGCAACGGCAATTAACGGAACATGGAACGATTGCGTTACACCACCTAGAAAAGGGAATATTGACGTTGTAAATATTTTATTAAAAAAAATTCAAGACATAAACACCGCAAGTGACTATTATATAGGTGATACTTCTATCTTAGATATGGCATGTAAAAACTGTAAATACGACATGTTAGAAGTATTAGTCGAAAACGGAGTTGAGTGTAGTGGTGGCAAAACTATATGGCATCAACTAGCAACAAATAAAACGAAATATAACGGAGCAGAATTAGAGTTATTAGAGAGAATTCCTGTAGATGTAAACAAAAAGTGCAATAAAGGATTAACCGCATTACACGTTTCAAGCAAGTTTTGTTCGATGTCAGTAGCAGAAATAGTACTGAAAAAAGGAGCGAATTTAAACATTACAGATGAAGAAGGCAACAGCCCATTACATTTTGCATCAGAATCAAATGAAGTTAATTTAGATATGATTAAAATGTTTCTTGCAAAAGGCATCAACGTGAATGCTCAAAATAAAAATGGAACGACCGCTTTACAAATTGCATGCCGGAACAATGATTATGAACTTACAGAACTATTGTTGGGTTCTGGCGCTTCGATTAATATTAACGACAAACATAACAAAAACGTGTTGCATTATGCATCAGAATCAAAGAAAAACAATCGGGACATAATAAAATTATTGCATGAGAAAAACATCGGCGTAAATGTTCAAGATAAATATGGAACTACCGCTTTGCAATTTGCATGTTTAGAGGGTGTTTATGAAAACGCAAAAATATTGTTATATTTCCGTGCTTCCGTTAACATTAAGGACGAAAATAACAACAACGCATTACATTATGCAATAAAATCAGGGCGAAACAATCAAGATATAATACAATTATTGATTGATAATGGCATCGACCTAAATACTCGAAATAAAAATGGAACAACTGCTTTACACCTTGCATGCCTAGAAGGTATTAATGCTAATGTGCAAATGTTGTTAGATTCTGGCACATTGATTAACATCATGGACAAAGATCAGAACAACGCATTACATTATGCCTCAGAATCTATGAACAACAATGTACATGTAATGAAATTATTAATTGAAAAAGGCATCCACGTGAATGATCAAAATAAATATGGAACGACCGCTTTACAAATTGCATGTCTAGAGGGTGTTTATGAAAACGCAAAAATATTGTTAGATTGCGGTGCTTCGATTAACATTGCGAATAATGCCAACAACAATGCATTACATTTTGCATCAGAATCAAAAAAAGACAATAGAGGTGTAATAAAATTACTGATCGAAAAAGGCATCGACGTAAATGCACAAAATGAAAATGGAAAGACTGCTTTACAGTTTGCATGTTTAGAGGGTATTTATGAAAATGCAGAAATGTTGTTAGATTTCAGTGCTTCGATTGGCATTACTGACGAAGACAACAACAACGCGTTGCATTATGCATCATCAGCAGAAAACGTCAATCGTTCTTTAATAAAATTATTGATTGAGAAAGGCATCAACATAAATGCACAAAATAAAAATGGAATGACCGCTTTGCAGCTGGCACGTTTAGAGGGTATTCAAGAGAATGTACAAATGTTGTTGAATTTAGGCGCTTCGGGTAACCGTATAGACAAAGTTAAGAAGGATACGGTGCATTATGCATTGGCATTACAGAAAGCAAATCGAGACCTTTTGGAAGCTAAAAAGAAGAAAAGAGGAGGGTCAATTTTTTAAAGGTGTACTTAGTTCAAAATTGAAAGAAAATGTAGGCAGAAGATTGAGGTTAGTGATTTTAAAAATGTTAAAATGTTTTTCTTACAACTTCTTTTTCAGAATCGTAAATATTTCATCGTCGAAATCTCAAAGCATTCTATGCATGATTGCAAAAAGTATTAAATCGGATTAGAAGACCAGTGGAACATATGGCAAATTCAGAAATGTGGTGTGTACTTTCTGTTATTCTTTTGGAATAATATGAGTTATAGTCTAAACTTGATTTGGATCTCTTGTCGATCAAGAAAAAACATAAAATGCACAATTCAGCAGAAAGTGAATGTGATAAGAATGTAACGCTGTAAAAAAATATGTCACAGAAGCATAATCGTAGTACTCCGAGCTGCACGCGACATACAACAAGAAAAAGAATTCTGAAGGTGAAAAAATTATGTAAGTACCTGAAATTTAATGAAAAAATTGGTAAAATTTTGACACAAAGTGTCATAAGTAGCATCCTTGTCTTGTGAATACTATATTCCGATAGGTGCAATGACAATGTGGCCAATTCTGAATCAAACATGTTAAAATTTAAAGGTTGATACAAAATAAACAGCCAATTAGATTTACGAATTTAACTCGTTACCATGGAAATTTGCAATTTAACACCCTCTAAATTTAACAGGTTTAATTTTTCCTTTTCAATTTTGTTTTGCTATTTCATTTTATAGTTTCTTTTTATACATATTTTATTTTTAAATATAATATTTGATTAACTGTTTTCTTTAGAAAACGGTCCATTTTTTTAAACAAAATTTCCACATTCTTTGATTTTCGCTCTGAGAGAAGAAACAACAATGTCGCCAAACTGCATTTGAATGAAAATAATAATAATAATAATAATAATAAGAATGTCAATCAGTAACATAGGCATTTATTCATGTTTTTCACCGATCCGTAGTGTTCATTCAGTTATCGTTATAAATTCCAGAAAGATAGAATTCGAATTTTAATTGAAATATATGCACAACCCTGCGTGGTGAAAGCAGAACACGCTGTTTCTTCTTAGAGTTTGCGGAAATTAGGGAAAGAGTATAATATGTGGCAAGTTTTTGGGTAGAGAAATCTGAAGTATGTGTTATTCTTGTCAATAGAGTAAAATGTAAAATCATCGAGGAAAGGTGACAGATTTCAACAAGGAACTTAAATTCCGGTCTCGTTACAGCGTCCGTAATAAGTTGTGTTTTTGCATCCAGATATTTTAGTTCAGATTTCTCTTTTTTTTTGTTTTTTACATTGATCCGCCACGTTTGATTTGATTTGATTTTTGTAAGTCAGAGGAGGGTTTTTCATCAGTTTTCAGACAGAGGGGGGGAATGAAAAATTTTTGCGTTTAATTTAAGAGTGTTTTGTCAACCTTGGGGTTCACCCACTGCATTTGAACGCATTCCGCCATAAAAAAAAAACACAGAATTTAGGCTTCCACTTTTGTTGGCCATCACATTTCAAAACCAATTAATGTTCGAATTTATTTTTAACAAAGCACGTATAAGCGTAAAACGACGGAGGTAACGCAATGCTTTATTTCTGCCCAATTTTGTAGCTTAACATTTGTTGTTAAAACAAGATATTATTTCAGAATTATTGTACTGACCTTATAGACGTTTGGATTATTAGAAGCCTAGTGTGACACGATTATACACTAAACAGTCTTATAGTATTCTTAGTTATATTAGAACTGTTGTAACAAATTTTCTTAAGGCATTTTTTGTATTCACAATACATAGATATTTATGTAAATTATTATTACAGGAGAGTTGGAATCTAATAATTGTAAACGATTTGAAGGAGTTTATTGTGATGTATGTCATTTAATTTGAGCATTTAATTAAAATGAATGTAAATTTAAATTAATATTAGGTAGGATGTAGCATTAGAATTAACTGTTTTAGCAAAGTGTTTAGATAGCTAAGACTGGTTATCCACAACGACACTCTTTCAACCAACTGGACTAATGCGACGTACGACGTAGCTTTTAAATAATTTTGTTACATTTGTTTTTATTAGGTAAACATTTTAACTGTTTATGGTAATTAAGTGTTTCTGTTGTATTACTTTATGTTAATCTAAACATCACCATGTTCTTGGTTGATTTAAAATGTCGGAACTGGAGAATTGTCTTAATTTCATAAAAAGTTGTACATTTATTTTGTTGATATAAATTTGTTATTTTGTTTTTAAAAAGATGAGAAGGTTTTGCAGCTGGGTAAATAAGTTTCTTGAAAATTTATTTCACAGCTTTTTTCCTTCTCCAAAGAGGAAAAAAGCCGTCCCTTGACAAAATTGAATAAAAGATGTTCTCTCCATATGTTTGCGTTTCAATTTTAAGATAGCTTTTGGTTTTAATTAAGATCTTCAGTAGTAGGTATGACGTTCAGGATACAGTTATTTGCATTTGCTACACAATTACGTTGAATAATACCATTTACTAGTAGGTGTGCAAAAGTTGTTATAAATATTATAAACATAAGCCGATTTTGATCCAAAAGTACCATCCATTAATTCAGGAATATTGAAGTCACCCGCTATAATTACTGGTTTGCTAAGGTCCATGTTGTTTTCTATATAATCAAATATTATCATATAATAGTTCTGCTATCAGAGTAAAGTGACGGCGGAATATACAGGGTGCCACATCCAAGTCTGGATATAGAGAATTAACATGGGCATTGCTTCCAGGCGGCAAAAATTCCATCCCTGCTTAACGAATGTAAAATCAGTTGACTTCCAATCTTTAGTGATTCGAAAAAAAAGTAACATTTACCCAAATTACCTACTAATTAAATTAAGCGTTGAAGAACAAGCAGGCCTTTGCTTTTTCATCTAATCGCAGTAGAACATAGCATAACCTAATAAAATATTTTGTGTAGTTTGTGCATTTATTCGGTTTAAATTGAGCTACAATAATCATCATATTGGATAAAATAATTTAATTTGAGTCGTTCAGTGAATACTGAGTGAGACAGCGCGAGTACATTCCTAGCTTGACGGGCCCCCACGACATGTCACAATGCTGCCGATGGGGTTTTGAGGAAGACCAGCTGCTCCAAGTCTTCATCTCGGGCTTTTTGGATACGGCCTGAGAGTAGTTCGAGATGGCTCGTTTGAAGGGGTCGCGCACTATGACCAATAAATGGATCAATTTGTGCATTTATTCAGTTTAATTTATCCTACAATAATCATCACACTGGATAAAATAATTCAGTTTGAGTTGTTCGTTGATTTCTGAGAATAATTTCGAATTTCACTTTGACATTTGGATTTTGCATGGTTAACATGCCGAACTTCGACAGTGGGGCGGAATATTTCGCGACAAATCGGATCGGGTCTCAATTTCAAAATACGATTTTTAATACCTTTTTACAGTGAAATACTGGCCGATAGCCCTCTTCGACCTCCACAAAGGCATCACTCAATAATAGCTTTAAAGTGATCTGGGGAGATATCAAATAAAAACCCATTTGCCATGTTAATTCCTTATATCCAGACTTGGATGCGGCACCCTGTATATGTTTTAAAAAATCAATCAATGAATCTTATCAAAATACATAACTATTCTGGACTGGTAATTGCAAGATTGATGTGAAGGAATTTTATGGGTGATTTTACTAATATGTATGTACCCCGTGTTAACTTTGCCATTTCTAATCTTTGTTTTATAGCTTTTGCGAATTCTGTGGTCTTTGTTGATATACTTAATATGTAGTAGAATTTATTATTTGCTGCATAAAGCGCGTTGAATCGAAGTAACACTGTTGAAGAAGTTGTCATAATTATTATTAATAATTAGCATTAATTATTTTGAATACTTTATCTGACTTGTAAAAACGGCGACTTTAAATGACGGATTACAAATTACATTAATGACTAGTGTGAACTATGATAATGAGGCATAATTTCAGCGAAGCGGGATTTTTGAAAACCATGAACAACTTAGAACCTTAGGATCATTTCTAAAAACCCTGTATTATTATAACCGGTAGGTACTTCCCAATCTTTCCTACTGTGTGAAACTGATATGACATTTTAGATATATTTTGAGAATATCGTGTAGGCAGTTATATCCTGCCTAATATTTATTTTGTGGATTCATCTCTACCAAAACTCACTGTTTTAAACTTAATTGTGGAAAAATTTGTGTGTTCATTCTAAATTACAGTCTTGAGTGACATAATCTTAATGACAATGTTATTTTTTTAAATACACACGTAAGTTAGTTCATAAATTACAAAAAAATAAAAAAATAAAATACACATGTACTAATAATAATTTTTGTAGAAACTTTTAAGATCAGAAAACTTTTAGTTTATTTAAGATTATTCCGCACGTGTGTGTATTTACATAAAAATGATTTCATATTTCCTTGATGATGCCATCAATTAAAAAATATTTCTCAAACTTGAGTTAATCACGTATAGTAGCACGGACACGAAAATGGAAAACCTAAATTTTTGCATTTTAAGCCAAATAAATCATGAAATTTGACATTTAATAAAAAAAATTACAGTTTGTAGCAATTGGTCCAATTTCAAGGTTTTGTGGCAGATAAGATTATCATCTACGACTTTAATATATTTCATACCTTTGAACTAATTAAAACATTTTAAGTGTTTTTAACTATTGTATTCTAATGAGTTAATGACAATAAATCGTACACAATCCACTTTAAGAAAAAGGATCCATTGTTACTGATGAAGTGATGAAATAGCAGTTCTTTAAGAGAAATGATATCATGGTTAAAAGCAGATAAAGACGTTCGAGGTATAATTTTCTACATATTTTTTTTACTTCCCGAGCGTAAGCAAAGGAAGTATTGTAATCGAGTCCGTCGGCCGACTCTCTACTTTTACGTTTTCTCGATCTTTCATGACGCCTAGAAGACGAAGAAATAGGTCTCCCGTTTCCGTCTGTCTGTCCGTCTGTCTGTCTGTCCGTCTGTCCGTCTGTCTGCCGTCCCGGATTTTTATTAGACAGATAATCTTCGAAAGTACTGGGCCGATTGTTGTCAAATTTTGTATTTATATTAGGTATATCATGTAGATGGTAAAACGCTAACCAAAATTTGTCGAATCATCCCCACCACTAAAGCGATGACGTCACTTCAAAATTGTACATAGTAAATGGGTTTTCAATTGTATAAAATAACATAGTCCTACACATGTAGTTTACAACTCTGAATCGACTTTTCACCCGAAACGTCCAGATTTTTGGAAAAAAAATCAAAATTATAAAACAACATTTTGAAATTTAATTTTTAATCTGCTAACCAGAATGCTTTGAAATGTTGCAGATGTTTTAAGGCTATAAAGAGCATCATAAATCTTTAGTCAAAAAATATTTGCTTATCCCCTCCAAAAACTTGATGACGTCAGCTCAAAAGTTTGTGGAATAAATCATATCTAAAATGTACAAAATATGATGAGTCTGTACTTGTGAACTATCACTCCATTAATATTTTTTGGATTTGCATATACAGGGTGACTCAAAAAAATTAATGAATGCGTAAATATATTTTATTGATTTAATCAGGAACTACAAAACCGAATGCTCTGAAATCTTGCAGATGTTTTAAGGTCATAAAGAGCATAATAAATGTTTAGTCAAAATATATTTGCTTATCCCCTCCAAAAACTTGATGACGTCAGCTCGAAAGTTTGCCGAATAAATCATATCTAAAATGTACAAAATATGATGAGCCTGTACTTGTCATTTATCACTCCATTCATATTTTTTGGATTTGCATATACAGAGTGACTCAAAAAAATTAATGAATGCGTAAATTTATTTTATTGATTTAATCAGGAACTACAAAACCGAATGCTTTGAAATCTTGCAGATGTTTTAAGGTTATAAAGAGCATAATAAATTTTTAGTCAAAATATATTTGGTTATCTTCTACAAAAAACTGATGACGTCAGCTCAAAAGTTTTCCGAATAAATCGTATCTAAAATGTACAAAATATGATGAGTCTGTACTTGTGATTTATCATTCCATTCATATTTTTGGATTTGCATATGCAGGGTGACTCAAAAAAATTAATGAAGGCGTGAATTTATTTTATCGATTTAATCAGGAATTACAAAACCGAATGCTTTGAAATCTTGGGAATATTTTAAAGTTATTATAAGCATGGTAAACTTTTGTTCAAAATGTATTTGTTCATCCCTCCTAAAAAAATTGATAACGTCACCCTTAAATTTTGCTGAATAAATCCTATCTAAAATGCAAAAAATATGATGAGTTTGTACTTGTGATTTATCATTCCATTCATATTTTTTAGATTTTCTTAAGAGGTGGTTCAAAAAAATTAATGAAGTCAATTTATTTTATTGATTAAATTAAAGGCAACACTTATTATTAGTATTACACCCCAACCAACCCAATTTGGTAGACACAAAATTTGTTAAAGGAAAAACTCGGTTGAAACATAAGGGTAGCACGCTTATTTACATCGACTTTAACATTACAGACCTGCATTTGTTTTATGCGTTCACTTGATTCCGCGAATGTGAAATAGACATGTTTATAATCAACCAATTGTGAATTTCACCGTCAAGAATTAAAATAAAACCCAATGTTTTATATAATAAGCGGAAGTCGAAGCAATAAAACCGACGGTCGTTTTGTTTACAGTTTCTGTGTTTGGCTCTCACGTATGCTGTTACGCCTGTCATCTTAAATTAACAATGTTTATACATACACGATTTTCAGTTGCCTCTGATACGTAGGTATACGTGAGTAAATTGTTTCGTTATTTTATTGATTATTACAAATCAATATTCAAACGACCCAATTCATTTTCCCGAAAATTTGAGAATATAATAATTTTATTCTTAGTATTACACTACATCTATCCCAACTGATATACGTGTCCTTGCAAAAATGTTGATGACGTCATCGCAATTTTTTTTTAAATTCCCACTACAAAAATGTAATGAGAAAAAAAACACAATAGGCATGCAGTCGTCAAGTTTCCGACAGCGAGGGAAGTACTGTCTAAACTCTTTAGACCAATTTTTTTATTACTATTTTTGCTAACTGTAACCAGGTTTTTCCTGTGTCTTTATATTCAGTTTATTAAAGAAAGCTACAAATACTGAACACTTTTTAAGAAACTGATTCAATTTGTAATTTCTTGTTCATAAAGACCATCCTAAAAAAATTAAGCTCTTTTTGTCGTCGGTCTTTCTGTTGATGATTCTGTCAAACATGTAATATTCAAAATCAAAACTTCTGAATATTTGTTGCAAACAGCGGTCGCTGGAACTCCACCCGATACCATGGTACATACCACCCAGAGATGGTTATATGCTGTGGTAAATGCAATATTGGAACATAAATTCCACATGGACAAAAATATAAGCGACAATGGAATGTTGACGTAGCTTATAAAAATAAGAAATACGACATGTTGAAATTGCTATTAGACAATGTTGCTAGGTGTGTCGAAGGCAACACAGTGTGGCATGCACTAGCGCAATCACGACCGAAAAGCTACGAAAAACTGAAATTATTAGAAAATATTGCGCCTGATATTGATGTAAATGCGAAGAATGATAACGGGATTAATGTGTTACATTTTGGAAGCGTAACCGGTAGCTACAAAACATATTAGACGCCGACAGCAACAGCCCATTACACTATGTTTCGTGGAATAGGGAGTCTTGGAACACCAATTGAGATACAATAATGTTACTTGTTGATAGCGGAATCACCGTGGACGGTTAAAATAACAATGGGCACACGGATTTGCAGTTTGCTTGTGAATATGGTGAATACGCAATTACAAAAAATTATTAGAAAATCATGCGTCGACAAATATCCTAGACAAAGACAACAACAACCCCTTGCATTATGCGGCAAAATCATGGGAAGACAATAGAGAAATAATAAAATTCTTAATTGAAGAAGATATTTCGGACAATGAAAGAACAACCACATTTGAACTCGTATGTGAATACGATGATGACGAAATTAGGGAAATGCTGGAGAAAAAAATGAGAAAATTGTGTGCACAATAATTGTAGAAAAGGAGCTCAGACGTACTATAATTTTATGATAAATGATAAGATATTGGGCTTGAAATGCTTGAGAAACTATTTTGCTTGAATAGGTGAACCCCTTGGCTACTAAACACTGTCATACAGGCAATGAATTATCATCAAAATAGCCGATTTTGACTTTATATTCCAGGTGAGTTACTAATGAAAGGTGGCGCCAGCGAATGTGTGAAGTAAGTGTCAAACTCAACGGATACATATATAAGCTTTTTGTCGGATTTAAGCTCCCAGTGCCCCTAATAGCCAAATCTGCTTCAAAACTATGGGCAACATTGTAACACTTCCGAAATCGGAAGTCACAGAGAAATTTTGGAAGTCACTCCGAATATTATATACCGATTTTGGAAGTGACATAGTACAGTAGATATATATATACATTCGTAGAATTCTTGCTAATCTTATCACTTATCTTATATCTTATCGGTAAAGTAGGTTCCACCATAATCGAAATTATTTGGGCGTTTACCTTTTATGAGTGCAAGCTAATTTTAACGAGTATATGGTTTTCTGCTAAACTTAAACATAGATCAAGATGTTTGTGTGTTACCTCTGTTAAGAAGTGATGTAACAGGTAAAAATTTAAGTTTTATTGTACCATTAAATCAGCATTCATTTTGTTTTCGTAAATTTTGCTTCAATTACGTTCCTCTACACCCACGACAATCCTGTTGATGAAATACATACATATGTAGATTACACAAAAAGTGAACAAAAAGTAGCAAACGTCATAAAAAACCATTGATGTAACAAAGGAATAAACATATTTATTGAATACTTAAAAATACATACATAGATTGTCTTATCTTATCTCGATACGAATTCCTTGGAGAACTCATTTAATTATTTATAACATGCCGATTTTGTTAATAACTGACCAATATTATTTATTTAATCTTCTTGTGCATCGAATGATTTTTTTTTAACTTTGATATGATATGATATTTAATTATACTTCACTCGCAGTAAGGCGCAAAATATTAAGTATAGTTTTCATGTATAAATTATTGAACAACAGAATAGACTGCATATGGCTGTTGAATAAAATAAATTTTATAGTACCTCGATTAAATGTGCGACAATTGACAACAATCTATTCAGCTACATGTAGGACTAATACTCTGCGTAAATCTCCTATATTTATCATGTCTGATATTGTTAATAATATTTCATCAATATGTGACATACATTTTGACAGTCTGCGAACCACCAAAAAAAGTATAATCAATTTGTTCGATCGTTAGGCCATTCATTTCATATCCGTTCGTTTTCGTCGTTTTTTTCTTTTATATTGTAAACAATTATTGTTTTTATATGTTCTTTTATATGTTATTTTGTATTTTCTATAATTGGGTTATGTACCTGTAGAAAATAAATTATTATTATTATTATTATTATTATATATGTAGGGCCCCAAGAAGGGCCACTCGACCCCCCATACTAAAAATTATTGACTTTTAAAAAAGTGTATCTTGATTTCAAAATATAGACAAACACCGACTATCAACTCCTTCGTAGATGGTAAATATTTCAACTAAAATTATTTAACACTGTACACTGTGCTTAAAACAGTTATTTGACCGTAAATATGAAACTGATTAACAAAAACAACGAACGCGTTGCAAACATAGTTTTTTAACATTGAATTTCGTTAATTAAAATTTATCCGTTTATCCCCTCACAAGAAGTTGATGAATTATGCAATGCATCATGAATTTAATCTTGTGGCGAGTCAAAATTAATGAATGAGAAAATTTATTTTTTGATCAAATCAAAAACGTCTCACTCCAGTTTTTCTAAAACTTAAGCATACAGTACTGTTATTATTAATACTTTTTTTTGTTAGGTATAGAAAAACTCACTTGAAACTAATGCAAAGCATGCTTCTTTATATATAGTTTAAAAATTCAGACATACCTGTTTCAACTTATAGGGGTTATCACAAAAAAAATTAAATTAGCAAAATTTAATTTTACAATTTTTCGAAAAATCTGTATTTTTTCGCCGGTACTTCAGGGGCGAAGGAAGTTTTGTCAAAATAACTTTAGACGATTTTTTTCTCTGCGTTGGTGAAATTAACGTGAAAGTGATGACTGATGAGTGCCGATTACATAAAAACTGAAGTTTAAAAAGCACAATGTTAAAGTTTCTTACAAATGTTTATATTTTCTAGTATTTATTACCATTAACATCGACAATTTATTCGTCATTAATACTGTCCCAGTTTTTCCAGAAGCACCCATTGTGATGATGTGAACACAAATAAATTAACTGTTTTACTTTACTGTGGGTATTATATTTCTGTTGGATCGCAAAAACGAACTATTCATTTATTATTCTAATATATTAAGAAAAAATAAATTGGATCTTATCATTATTGCCGAAATACATTTGATTTCTAATTAACAACATTCCCTAAATTCACCTCGGTTTAAACAGTATTATCAATATTATAGCCGCCACCACTAACTTCATCCATTATACGATCTAGGACCATGCACACAGTGAAACATAAAATCAATATGGTTTGTTACATGTAAAGTATTGTATATTTATTAAACTAAACGAAAACACGTTTTACTTTTTTTTCGTTTTGTGTTTAACAGAAATACATATTTTTTGTAATTTTTGAAACAGTGTTTATATTTTCAGTGAGATATCATATCACCAGAGAAATTAATTGTTCAGGTAGCGAACACGAAGATAAAAGAACGGAACAACCACGCGAAGAGATGGAACAAACAGAAGATGAATCAGGAGAAAAACAAAATACGAACCCTAATTCGTCACAAGAGGAAAACAGTTCTTACGTGAAAAAGGTAAATTCAACGTAGTTTATACACAAAATTTAAACTTCAACAATTTGGAATATCAGATGTAGCGGATACAGTTTATGAATACTTTCAAAACAAGTATTCGTCTATGTATAATATGACTTTTTAAATTAAAATATTTTTTTTAATAATTGTAAAACCATACTCGTAAATAAACATCCAAATAATTTGCAATTTTTCAGTCAACAAAGCGCCCACTGGAGACATACGAAAAACTTTCTGGCACTATAGATCAAGGAAGAGACTACGAACAAATAATGTGTGCGTTCTACGCTTTGAAATTAATTGTTTCTCAGGATGTGAAAGATTTTAAAATGACAACAAACAACAAGAGGTATGGAACATTTAATGATATTGCTATTGAAGTTGAATTTAAAAACGGAACAACACGCACTTTTCTCTTCGAACTGAAACATAAAGAAGCTGCAAAATGTGTCAGAAAAACGGATTTGCGTGCAGGAAAACGTGACTTCGACATTGAAAAGCATTTTAAATCCCTCTCAGACGTAATAGTTAAAGATGATGTGGTTTGTATTCTATATACAAATTCTCCTATAGATTTTAAGAACAAGACCTCCATAGAAATAGGAGAGAACTTACGTTTAGACAAGTGTGATAATGTCGAATATAAAAACTTGCTGATAAACACAGATTCTAGAGAAGAACATAATATTTTCCAACTTATGGATCAATTCGGCAACAAACTTAGATTTTACTTTTTTTCTGGACAAGATAACTTAGAACAAACCGAGTCACACGTGCAACAAATACTGCAGCACTTGGTGCAATGTGAAATTTATAAAGTCTTTAAACATTTTATGAGAGAATGGTGGTCAAACGATTATGTCTTAAGCAGAGACGATGTCATTGCAACACTAACACGGTTATCCCTTTCACCTTATATCAAATGTGTAAGTGACAATAAAAAAAATCATAAAACAGGATACCTTGCAGAAGCAATAATGAATTTTTCTGTAACGATTGTAGACAAAACCGACGAAAATATTATCGATCACATTTGGTCGAATGAAGCCATTACACAAGACGAAATCAATGAAGTGACGAAAAAATTCGAACTAGAAGCTACCGACCTCGCCAAAATTTTGTGGTATTTAAACAAGGCTCCTTTGATTGTGAAAGTCAAAGATGCAAATAAAACGATAATCAAGACGGCAGTGAATCTTATGAACAGAGCTACTAACAGCAAGAAAATTATTTTGGTGGGAAATATCACCAGAAGTGAATTCGCTGAAGCAGAAGTTTTCCAAGATTTGTCAGATTTGATAAAAAACTTCGGAACCACAGAGTACTGCTGCAATCTCCTACACAGTTTGGAGATTTCCATACAAGAAAAAAAAATAATTTGTTTGAAAGAGTTTATAAATATCGATGGAGAACTTTCAAAAGTTTTTGGAGTTGCCGATTTGTTGAAAATGTCGCAAAAAAACTTAAATGTAGGTAATAGAGAGGAATTACCTAATCCCCATGTACCAAGAAGTGTTTCAACCATTTTTGTCAAGACTCAGGACATCCCGGATATTTATAAATCACAAAATAATCAAACATTGATAATCATTAATTGTGATAAAACATTTAAGGATACATTCTCAAAATATAACAAATTCAATTGTGTTGAAATATCCGACTATCTAGCGAAAAAATCTAATGAAGATAAAGATATTATGATCCTATCAACAGAAAAACAATGCACAATTGATCAATTCACCCGTATTTGCGAAAAATCTAAAAAATTGAATGTATATCTGTTTCAGACATTTGATGACAAATTTTCTGTCCTTCGGTTACAAAAGGCGAATCACTTGTTACCCATGTTTATAGACCAATCAACGACTATAGTACAAAATGATATCTCAAGACATTTTAATAATTCAGTCAATGCAATTTGTGCTCCAACAGGCATGGGTAAATCAACACTGATGAAATTTCTTTGCAACACATGTCCTTCAAATGATTGGGGAAGTTACGTTAATCTAAGGAAATGCAATTCATTCTTTTCAAAAAATCCGGACTTTGAAACAATCTTGCATTATTTTCTGAGAAATGAAAATTCCAAAGAAAAAACGACTGAAGAGCAAATCAAGACCATTTTGTGCCAACATAAAAAGATACATTTATATCTTGATGGTTTAAACGAAGTTAATAATTCTTACTTAAATATTATCCTGGATTTCGTAAAAGAGGCATCATCAAGAGGAATCGGCGTATGGATTTCATCAAGAGATAATTTACACGAAATATTATCAAAAACATTAAATATAGTTCCAATCAAAATGCACGGACTAAGTCAAGAAGAACAGAAAATATATATGCATGAAAAACTTGTAAGAAAATATAGAGAAGAACAAATACAGAAAATATTTGATGCAATATTTACAAGTGTAGCCGTTAACAGTTACCAAGAATTATTAGGAAATCCCCTACTGTTACAAGTCATTACAGAAAAGCTTTTTGATAATGATGATATTTACCAAAGCATCGAAGAAAAAAATATTTTCGTTCCAACAGAAATGTATCACTTGTTTTTGATTGGAAAAATAACATATACTCTTAATAAAATAGCAAGTAAAGAAACCTTAGGTCAATTTGAAGATATCCCCTCAGCATGCTTGGAACAATACGAGGTTTCCGCTTTAAAATCAAGTTTGGATGTAAAGGATTTCGAAAATTTAAAGCTGAATTCTCAAAAATTTGAAGATTTTATGAACAAAATAAAAACAGATGGCGATAAGTATGGAATAATCAAGAAAATAAGTAAAAACGGTAACCCGATATTTGAGCACTCTATTTGTGCAGAATACCTGACCTGTGTTTGGCTGGAAAAGCACAAAGATGAGACTTTGTTAAAACAAGTTATGTTTACTGAAAGATACAAAAATTTACGAGTTATTTTTGATATATTACTGGCGGAGAACAACCCGTTACATTTATCTATTATTTACAAGAATCGGGAGCAGTTTGAAAAACACAAAGACGAAATGAACAGGACAGATCGAGCTGGGCGAACGTCGATGCATCTTATATCCACATATGGAACAAAATATCCGGACAATACTATGCGCATCCACAATCGAGAGCTTTCTTGGTATATAACAATGGTAAAAACACTGGTACAGAACTGCACCAGCATTGACAGCAAAGATAACCTAATTAGGTACACTTGTCTAGATTATTCTCTTGAAACGAAATGTTTGTATACCATAGAAGTCATTTTAGAAACAAAGAAAGCAAATTTTAACGATATCAAGGAAAAGATTTTCAAATATTACAAAGTAGAAACGCTCGCGTACTACGCAGCACGAATAGGATATCCCAATTTGTTTTCTGCTCTAATTGCTGAAAAACCACAACTTATGGATCGAAAAATACGCGTTCAAAATTTGCTGCTAACGGCAGTTAATGGAATACGGAACGATTGCATTATGCCACCCAGAGAAGGAAATATTGCGGTTGTAGATATTTTATTAAGAAAGATTTTCGACACAAACAACGTCCCAGATTATTATTATTATGAGGCTGATGGTTGTTCTATTGTTGATATAGCATGTAAAAACCGTAAATACGACATGTTAAAAGTATTGCACAAAAACGGAGCAGCGTGTACCAGAGGCAGAACTGTATGGCATGAACTAGCAGAGAAAATAAACCCTAATGAAGCTGAATTAGAGTTATTAGGAAATATGGACATTGCTGTAGACATAAACAAAAAGTGCAGTAAGGGATTAGCTGCGTTACACGTTGCAAGCCAATTCGGTTCGCTAGGAATAGTAAAAATACTATTAAGAAAAGAAGCCGATTTATACGTTACCGACGAAGAAGGCAACACCGCTCTGCATTATGCATCAATGTCATCGGAAGACAATCGCGATGTAATGAAATTGTTGCTCGAAAAGGGCATCGACATAAATGCTCAAAATAAAAATGGAACAACCGCTTTGCAAACTGCTTGCCGAAACAGTAATTATGACCTTACAGTCACGTTGTTAGATTCTGGTGCATCGATTAATATTAAGGATAAAGATAACAAAAATGCGTTGCATTATGCATCAGAATTTTGGCGAGAAAATCAAGATGTAATCAAATTATTGATTAAGAGAGGCTTAGACATAAATGCAGAAAGTAACAAAGGAGAGACTGGTTTACAACTTGCTTGTCTAAACTGTGATTCGGAAATTGCAGAAATGTTTCTAAAGCTCGGCGCTTCCCTTCAGTCTACAGGCAAAGAAATGAACAACGCGCTGCATTCTGCGTCTGCATCACAGGAAGAGAATGGAGATATAATAAAGCTGCTGCTTAAAGACGGCATTGACGTAAATGCCCAAAATAAAAATGGAACGACCGCTTTACAAGTTGCATGTGTGGAAGGTGTTTACGAAAATGCAAAAATATTGTTAGATTTCGGAGCTTCTGTTGACAGTAAGGACAAAGACAACAATAACGCGTTGCATTATGCATCAGAATCACAGCAAAACAATCGAGACATAATGCAATTATTAATTAGCAAACGCATCGACGTAAATGTTCAAAATAAAACTGGACAGACAGCTTTACAACTTGCATGTCTGAAGGGAGTTTTCGAAAATGTAAAAATATTGTTACATTTCGGGGCTTCGGTTAACAGTACGGACGAAGACAACAATAACGCATTGCATTATGCATCAAAATCAAAGCAAGTCAATGGAGACGTAATAAAAATATTGAGTGAAAGAGGCATCGACGTAAATGCTAAAAATAAAAATGGAACGACTGCTTTACAACTTGCATGTCTCACGGGTGTCTACCAAAATGCAAAAATATTGTTAGACATCGGGGCTTCTATTGACAGTACGGACAAAGACAATAAGAATGCGTTGCATTTTGCATCAGAATCAACCCAAGTCAATGAAGATATAATAAAAACATTGACTGAAAAAGGCATCGACGTAAATGCACAAGATACAAATGGAACGACTGCTTTCCAACTTGCATGTATAAATGGTGTTTATGAAAATGCAAAAACGTTGCTAGATGTCGGGGCTTCGATTAACATTGCAAATCATAAAAACAACAACAACAACGCGTTGCATTATGCATCAGAGTCACAACAAAACAATCGAGACATAATAGGATTATTAATTGAGAATGGCATCGACGTAAATGCTCAAAACGAAAATGGAACGACCGCTTTACAACTTGCATGTCTGAAAGGTGTTTACGAAAATGCTATAACATTGTTAGATTTCGACGCTTCTATTAACAGAATGGACAAAGAAGGCAACAACGCGTTGCATTATGCATCAAAATCGCAGCAAAACAATCATGACATAATAGAATTATTAAGTGAGGAAGGCATTGACATAAATGTTCAAAATCAAAATGGAACGACCGCTTTACAATTTGCTTGTCGAAAGGCAGTTTACGAAAATGCAGAAATGTTGTTATATTTCGGGGCTTCTATTAACAGTACAGACAAAGACAATAATAACGCTTTACATTACGCATCAAGATCAAATCAAGTCAACCAAGATGTAATAAAAATATTGACCGAAAAAGGCGTCGACGTAAATGCCCAAAATAAAAATGGAACAACCGCCCTACAATTTGCATGTCTGAGCGGTGTTCATGAAAATGCAGCAACGTTGTTAGATTTCGAGGCTTCTATTAACATTACCGACAAAGAAAACAAGAACGCGTTGCATTATACATCAGAATCAAAGCAAGTCAATCGAGATATAATAAAAATATTGACTGAAAGAGGTATCAACGTAAATGCGCAAAATAAAAGCGGAACGACCGCTTTACAACTTGCGTGTCTGAAGGCCGTTCACGAAAATGTACAAACTTTGTTAGATTTTGAGGCTTCTATTAACAGTACGGACAAAAACAACAAAAATGCGTTGCATTATGCGTCAGAATCACGGCAAAACAATCGGGATATAATACAATTATTAATTGACAAAGGCATCGACGTAAATATTCAAAATAAAAATGGAACGACCGCTTTAAACCTTGCATGTCTGACGGGCGTCAACCAAAATGCAAAAATATTGTTAGACAAGGGAGCTTCTATTGACAGTATGGACAAAAACAACAAAAATGCGTTGCATTATGCGTCAGAATCACAGCAAAACAATCAGGATATAATACAATTATTAATTGGCAAAGGGATCGACGTAAATGCCCAAAATAAAAATGGGACGACCGCTTTACAACTTGCATGTCTCACGGGTGTCTACCAAAATGCAAAAATATTGTTAGACATCGGGGCTTCTATTAAAAGTACAGACCAAAACAACAAGAATGCGTTGCATTATGCATCAGAATCAAAACAAATCAATAGAGATATAATAAAAATATTGATCGAAAAAGGCATGGACGTAAATGCCCCAAGTAACAATGGAGAAACCGCTTTACAACTTGCATGCCTAACCGGTGTTCACGAAAATGCAGAAACATTGTTAGATTTCGGTGCTTTTATTAACACTACGGACAAAGACAACAAGACCGCGTTGCATTGTGCATCAGCATCAAAACAAGTCAATCGAGATGTCATAAAATTGTTGTGTGAAGGAGGCATCGGTGTAAATGCCCAAAATAACAATGATACAACCGCTTTACAACTTGCATGTCTGAACGGTGTACAAGAAAATGCAGAAATGTTGTTACATTTCGGGGCTTCTATTAACAGTACAGACAAAGACAATAATAACGCTTTACATTACGCATCAAGATCAAAGCAAGTCAATCAAGTTGTAATAAAAATATTGACCGAAAAAGACATCGACTTAAATGCCCAAAATAAAAATGGAACAACCGCTTTACAAATTGCATGTCTAACGGGTGTCTGTCAAAATGCAAAAACTTTGTTAGACATCGGGGCTTCTATTAACAGTACGGACCAAAACAACAAGAACGCGTTGCATTATGCATCAGAATCAAATCAAGTCAATCGAGACATTATAAAAATGTTAACTGAAAAGGACATCGGCTTAAATGCTCAAAATAGCAGTGGAACGACCGCCTTACAACTTGCATGTCTGAAGGGTGTTCATGAAAATGCAGAAACGTTGTTAGATTGCGGGGCTTGTATTAATATTATGGACAATGATAATAAAAACGCGTTGCATTATGCATCAGCGTCGCAGCAAAACAATCAAGACATAATAAAAATATTGACCGAAAGAGGCGTCGACGTAAATGCCCAAAATATAAACGGGGCGACCGCTTTACAACTTGCATGTTTAAGTGGTGTTTATGAGAATGTAAAAACGTTGCTGGATGTCGGCGCTTCGATTGACATTGCAAATTCCGACAAGAACAATGCCTTACATTATGCATCAGAGTCACAGCAAAACAATCGAGATATAATAGGATTATTAATTGAGAAAGGCATCGACGTAAACGTTCAAAATAATTTTGGAACGACCGCTTTACAAGTTGCATGTCTGCAAGGTGTTTATGAAAATGCAAAAATGTTGTTAGATTCCAGTGCCTCGGTTAACATTACCAACAAAGACAACAACCACGTGTTGCATTATGCATCAAGATCAAGGAAAAACAATCGAGATCTGATCGAATTATTATTGACTCAGGAAAACATCGACGTGAATGTTCAGAATAAACATGGAATTACTCCCTTGCAATTTGCATGCCTAGAAGGGGTTTATGAAAACGTAAAAGTTTTATTAGATTCCGGCGCTTCCACTGATATTATGGACAAAAACGACAAGAATGCATTCCATTATGCATCACAGTCGTTAGGAGACAATCGAAATGTAAAAGAATTATTAACTGAGAAGAGCACTAACAACCAAGGCATCCAAGGGGCCAACGAAGGAAAAGAGGATGACTAATGCTTTAGAAGTAGCAATATGTAGTGTAATTTTGAGGTTAGTGCTTTTTGTTGAAAAATCTGGCTGTTTTTGAATTACAGTTTTAGTTTATATACCTATCTGAAAAATTTTAGTTGTTGCTACTTTCGTGTTTTAGAATCGTAACTCTGTCATCATCCAAATATGGAAGTCTTCTGGACGCAGTTGCAAGATTGATTTGAAGGAATTTTATATGGGAGATTTTGTTAATGTAGATTAATTAGTCACTTAGATTAGATTATATGTTAGATATTATTGTTGGTTTGTCATTTTTTATTTTTTGCATTCTGTTATCTTTGTTGAAGAAGTAATCATTGTTATATTAATTACCATTAACTACTTTGGATTTTTAGTTAAAAATATTGCATTTAAGACCTAACTGCTGAATATATTGTGCTTGAATATTAGAGGTTGGAAGAAAATTAGTTTCTAGGCTATTAAACGTCAGCTTCTACGTCAGTCTAGGATTTTGAATCGATAACCCACGATCTGTGATATGTGCTCTCTTTCTGTTATTTATTTTAGTCAATAACGTCAACTCAAATATTATGTTAATTTCGTAAGTTGTAAATTTGAAAGAAAGGAAATCTGTTCCTCCCTTTCAATTATAAAACCACTGAACAGGCATCAGTCTGCGCTACGTCATGTTGTAAAATTTTTTATCCAACACATGCATATAAATCTATTATAATTGTGTTCACTTTAGACAAGTAATGGGATAAATAACTCACTTGTAAGTTCAAATTATTGTTACTTTTACAAAGTGTTTTTGTACATGTGTTGGATAAAATTTTATATTACACTCTTGTGTTATGGCTTGAAATCACTCGAGAAAATTAGGCATTCGCTCCATACATACATAACACACTTGTATAATAAATAACTATAATTTAAATTTGTTATTTTGTTTTTGAAAAGATGAGAAGGTTTTGCAGCTGGGTAAATAAGTCTCATGGAGATTTATTTCACAGCTTTTTCCCTTCTCCAGAGAGGAACCATAGTTTTCGGTGGCCCTTTGACAAAATTTAATAAAAGATGCTCCCTTCATACTTTTGCGTTTAATTTAAGGACCCCTTTCCATCTTAAAACCTAAATCCTTGTTGAAACTATGATCTGAAGTATACATGGTACTGGTTTCGCTTTAGAGATGAGATAAGTTCGGTTATGGAATAAGGTGACAAACATGAAATCAGATATTCAACAAACGAATCTTACTACAGTACGTTTCTACTTTAAAAACCAACCAAACAAGACACACCTGAAAGATGTACAACACAAAATATATAAAATTGCTCTATAATTAAACGTTTTTACAGTTCTTAAAGTGTGCGGCACGTTGCGAAGCACCCTACAGTTTCTTTCAAATCGCAAAATATTAAATATAAATAATTCTTTTGAAGAGCGTAACCATCTCAAGAGGTTGATGTACTCTTATATTATTATAACTGGAAGGTACTTCCCAATTTTTCCTTCTGTGTGAAACTGATATGAAATCTTGGATATATTTTGAGAATGTCGTGTAGACAGACAAATTTTGCGAAACTGTGCAAAATGATATTAATAATAATAATAACTTTATTGATTCCAACAGGTATGACACCCATTTACAGGATCAAATAAACATCAACTAAATAAGTAGTAACAGTACTAAACTAACAAAATATAAATTGTACAACTATTAATAGTACAGAAATAAACATGCTTCATTGCGACATAAATATACATCTGAACAATAAGATAGGCAGATGCAGGAGGAGAAAAAAAGTTATTCTAAGTTTATAACACATGAAACAATATGTCGAAGTGAATCAAGGTTCATATCGCATAAGTGTGAAATTTTATTAAATAAATTGGACATAATTATAATAGGCGATCGCATAGACATATTGGTTCTGCTAAAGTTAGCGTAAAATAACATCTGTTGTCTGGAGTTTACGCGAGGTACTAGTAAGTTGAATTGGCTGAGAAGCTCAGCACAATCGATTTTGTTATGAAAAAGATTATATACAAATCTAACAGCAATTATATTACGACGAGTTTCTAATGATAGTAAATTATAACGCGACAGTAATAGGGATTGCTCACAACCTCTCGGAGGGTAAATACCATCTTCTAAATATACCATAAATTTGAGGAAACGTCTCTGAACCGATTCTAAACTAAGACAGTGTACATCGTAAATAGGATACCAGATTAAGGAAGCATATTCCAATCTCGACCTTACAAGCGAACAAAACAATAATCTGATAGTTTCAACATTGGAAAAGCGACGACAGTTTCTATAGATAAAACCATATATTTTAGAAGCACTGTTAACGGTTGTATTAATGTGGTCAATGAAAGCAAGTTTGCTGTCAAAAACTACACCTAGGTCTTTGAATGTTTGTGAGCGCTCCATTAGAATACCATTTACATTGTACGAGTAGGTGATAATGTCTTGTTTTCTTGAGTAAGAGACTACTCTACATTTGGAAATATTGAGTTGGAGACGATTGCTGTCGCACCAGCGGGTCACCGAGTTTAAATTTTGTTGGAAAAGAAAACAATCACTGACTGAATTGATGATTGAAAAGAGTTTGAAATCGTCGGCGAACAATGACTTTTTACAAGATACAGATTCAGCAAGATCGTTGATAAACAATAGAAAAAGCAATGGACCCAGATTGGAACCCTGTGGCACGCCCGAAGTGGGTACAAATGCAACAGATGTAAAATTACGATATCTAACTCTGAATTCTCTATCAAATAAATAGGATTGAATCAATTTTAATAGTGGTTCGGAGAAACCGAAACGGCTGAGCTTTTCCAGTAAAACGTAATGATCAATCCTGTCAAAAGCTTTTTGGAAATCAGTGTATATTACATCGACCTGACATTTATCATCCAGGGAATCCGACAAATACTGGGAGAAAAAAGCAAGATTCGAGACCGTTGAACGGTTAGCCATAAAGCCATGCTGATATGAAGAGATAAAAGGTTTGACTGAATTGTAGATAGTTTCGTAAATAATTGACTCGAAAGTTTTCGCAAAATTGCACAGCAAAGAGATCGGTCTGTAGTTTGTAACGTCATTGGTTTTGCCTTTTTTAAGTACAGGACATATAAAGGCTTTTTTCCATATATCTGGAAAAGTTGAATACTGCAACATCCGATTGAAAATTTTAGCTAAGGGAGCAGCAAGAACAGAAGCACAATCACGTAGGAGAAAACTGGGAACACCATCAACACCTGTAGTTTGCGAATTTTTGGATCGCTGCAAGTGTTTTCGAACATCATCAACGGAGATCTCATTGACTGAAACGGTATTATTGAAGACGCATTGTTGAAGTGATAGGGAAGCTGGGTCGATGGGAGTAGAATGTATAAAAACACTATGAAAGTAATTGCCAAAGGCGTTAACAATGTCTGCAGGATTTAAGATTTCTTCGTTGTTATAACACATGACTCCTGGGATACGCGTAGAACCTTTTTTGTTTTGGATGTAAGCCCAAAATTTGCTCGGATCATTGATGATTGAATTTTCTATAGATGAAAGGTAGTGATTGTGTGCCTCTTTAATAAGTTTCTTACATTTTGCACGCTGAGTATTAAATAGGTGATAGGACTGGTCACTTCTGAGTTTTTTATGCTGTTTGTATGTAGACCATTTAAGGCGTAAGTTGCTTATAATTTCGGATGAGAACCAAGGTGGGTAGTACCGGCGATCACGATAAATAGATTTCGGAACAGATAAATCAAAAAGACTGTACAATTTATCATAAAATTTTTTACATGCTAAATTGACATTGTTAATATTTTCCAAAAAGGACCAATCAGCGTTTGTAATTAGTTCATAGAGAAGAGGAAAGTTCGCTTTCTTGAAATTGTAGTTCGAAACACTATTATTCATACGGAAAGAGCTGGGAGGTTTGCCAGACTGGAAATTTAGATTCAGCTCAAGCGCTGGGTGATGGAAATCTTCGTCGACCAACGGACAGATAGCATTTTCGACAGAACATTCAAGATTAGAATATATCAAGTCCAAGAGCCTTCCATATCTATTTACAACAGTATTAAATTGCTGTAGGTTGTTGAAATTCTGAAATATATTCAAAGTAGTACTAAATCCACTATTACTCCTAGTTATGAATTCAGGAACATTGAAATCACCAAGAAAGATAACTTGATTATTGCAACGCAGTGGTGCTAGCTGATTGAGTGCATCAAAGAAGAGTTCAAAAGAAGGGAGAGAAGTAGCAGGCGGAATGTATAGCACAAATACAAATAATTTATTGTTACAATTATCGCTAATTTTCACACATAATAAATCTATAGAGGGAAAAGCAATATTTATATCAGTGACATCTATTTCGTTACGCTTAAACGAACTCTTGGCGGCTAAAAGTACACCACCACCTCTAGTGAGTACATTCCTGTCCTTTCGAAAAACAGTGTAATTACAAGAGAACAGCTCTGAGTTATTAATATCAGAATTAAGCCAAGTTTCGCTTAATGCGATTAAATCAAAATCATTTTCATGAACAGTATTACAGAAATCTGAGATTTTTGACCTTAAACCACGAACATTTTGGTAGAGTATAAGTGAAGAACTGCGGCAGTAAATGGGTGTCTGTACTAGTTTAAAATTTTTGGAACGCCTTTAACATATCTAATTTTCAAACCAGTTTCGCCGTTTGTAGTACGAAGATCCATTTCATCTTTCAATAGCTTGTAGTATTCAATCTGCCTTGGAGTGCGGTCAAAGGAAACAAAGATATGTTTATATTGAGTCGAATTTTTTAGTTGCTTAGCGAAACGAATAATATTTTGTACCTCTTGTTCATTCTTAAGAAGGACTTTAACAGGCCTATTTTTACCTGCTAAATATTTTCCCATACGTTGAATTGATCCACTGCTAACGTCGTAAGCTGAATTAATATGTAAGAGAATGTTATTGACAGAGTCACGGTCACGTATCAGAGCTTCATCGCGAGACAGATTAATCGGTTGTTCAGGTACGTTAAACAAGACAAGATTTTGTTTTCTGATTTGTCGTTCCATCACCTCACTAACGACATCTTCAAACACTACTGGAGCTATTTCTTGTTTAGGAGTTAATGACGATTTTAAATTATTAATTTGAACTTCAAAGCTAGCTTTAAGGTTATCAATAGCAGTGTTAAAATCACTGCGAATAGAAGAAATCAGCGTCTTAATGTCTTTGAACTGAGCTATGTTATTGCTGCACGAGTTGCATACAACTTTAATGGATTTCGATTTATTACGAGTAAATTTGACATCATTGTCAGGCAGCCCAGCGCATTTGAAATGGAGAAGCTCTTGGCACACATCGCATGGAATCGTTGGGGCGTTTTTGTTATCAACACTGCATTGATTTGCACATGAACTCATGTTTATCAGGAGATAGGATGAACAGGGAGACAAAATTCTTCAGCACCCAGGGGCCGGTCAGGGTGACTAACTATAAAACAGACAAGCGGGCCACGGGTAGGTTTATTGAGGAAAAAAACAGAGGAGAGATTTATTTAATTAAACGATAAACTAACGCCACAGTACTTCGCCTCAGACGCAAAAACAAAATGTGCGGATAAAATGACCGACAAAAAGTAGCGATAAGAAGTAGTAGAATATTCGGGAACCGCCGACTTCCAGGTAATTAAATAAGAGCAGGGAGGCGACAGGACTCAAGTAATTCACCAATACATTCAGCGTACAGTACCTGTTAAGTAGATGTCAAAGTCGCAAAAAAAAAGCAAATAAATCACTAGAAATTCGGTGAAAAACTGGGAGACACGATCACACCGCTGTCACTACTGATAACGAAATGATACGGCAATTTATGAAAATTTCGACCGTTTTTCGGAAATTACTTACAGACATTTTTTGTAGATTTCACAATTCAGAAATTATTGTTAGGTTTCATGGGCGATTAAAATAAAAATCGACGTGGGTAAAACGCAACAACTTATTTCTTAATAACTGGCCTCTATTTAAACCTATACATTCCTCTACATGGTTCGAGAACGCCGCTTCGAGGATTTTCTAGGTTGTCTATCGCGATTTTTGCTTCCAGGCTTTTCGTCAGCAAACGCTGCGCCGCCTGGCCGATGAGTCATCACCGCATACCAGAATAAACACACACATACTAGAAGACCCATAGACGTCGTACCGGGGCGGCATATGGGTTTCTTTCGTAACATTATTTTCGGTTCCATTTCTTTGAAAACTGCTACCACTTTTACGGAATCGCCCATTTATTGATTTTAAAATCAAATACCAACAACTACCACGCGGATAAAGGCAGTCCCGACCGTTTAAATTAAGATATACAAAAATCCTATTGTTGTTAACATTTTACCATCCACAAAATAAGTCCAAAGTCATCCATCATTTTCTTAATCTTATTAATCTTATCAAATTAATTAGTAAGTAAACTCCTGAGCAATTGGGTATAGATTACTCAGTGTTTTCAACTAAACTGTATCGGAAATGTGTGTGTTCTACTAACAGTTGTGTCTGAATTACAGTTTTGAGTGACTTAATTTTAAAGACAATGTTACTTTTTAAATACGTTAAAAAATAGAACTCCACACGTAAGTTAGTTCATAAATTACAAATAAATAAAAAACTAAAACACTCAAACATATGTAGTAATAATTTTTGTACATATTTTTAAGACCATAAGACTTTTAGCTTATTTAAGATTAGTCCGAATGTGTGCATTTAAAATTATTTAATATTTTCTAGTGCTACGAACATTACTTGTTCGGTATCTTTATGGTTGATAAATAGACAAAATCAGAAAACCTAAATTTTTACATTTAAGCCATTAAATCATGAGATTTAACATTTGTTAAAAAAAAATTACAGTTTGTAGCAAATGGCCCAATTTCAAGGTATTGTGGCAGATAAGATTATCATCTACGGCTTTAATATATTTCATATCTCTGAACTTATTAATACATTTTAAGTGTTTTTAACTATTGTATTATAATGAAGATAAATCTTACACAATGTACTTTAAGAAAAAACATACATTGTTACTGATAAATTGATAAAATATCAGTTCTTCAAGAGAAATGATATCACAAAAGCAGATAAAGACGTTTGAGGCAAAATTTTCTACATGTTTTTTGAATTATTATTATTTTTGCCAACGGTAACCATGTTATTCCTGTGTTCTTATTTTCAGTTTGAAAAAAAAAAATACTTTAATAAGTATTACAAATACTAAACACTTTTTAAGAAACTGTTTCAATTTGTAATTTTTTGTTCATAAAGACCATCCTAAAAAAAATAAGTTCTGTTTGTCTGTCGTCGGTCTTTCTCTTGATGATTCTATCAAACACGTAATATTCAAAATCAAAACTGCTGTGTGTACGGTTAAAAGCGAACGAAAATTTATTTGTTTATCTCCGCCTTTAACTTGATGACGTCACCAAAAAAATGTGTCGTTTAATTTACCTAATATATACGTGTTTCACAAAAAAAATATGTTTGCATACCTTCATAATTTATCCGAATAACTTTGGACCAATTTTTTCGTTGTTGTAGAAAATAGTGTGTTATTAGCCAAGGTTGCAAAGCCAAGCATTCTAGACCGAGCGCGAGGTCTAGAAGTGGCTTTGCAACCGTGGTTAATATACTATTTTTTTCACTAGTAGAAACCACAAGACAATAAATTGAAAAAATAAACGTTCAATTTTTTGACGCAACATAATTTTGTTTTGATTTCTAATCAAATTTAATCTAAATCTTCAACACAAAGAAAACCGTTTACACTTGTCGCTGAATTCATCATTTTATCTTCTACCGTCCACCAACTACCATGCGTATACTAAAGTAATGTTGGTAGCACACATTTATTCATTTTTTAAGAAATAATCACAGCAAGTATTGGGAACATAACCTCAATCTTCTTTTTGAACCCGTGGTCGCAAAAGTTGAATTTGCTACCTCTAAATGAGTCGACATTTGCATGCTTCATGGCTGCTAGTGAAAAAAATATTTTATTATATTTTATTTTTTTAACAGTATTTACCATGGAAAAAAGCTTGGAGTCAGGCGGTGGAAAAGAAGATAAACAAATAAACACAATGGAAGGAGAACAATCACGATTACAAGAAGGGGCCCGGAGTTCGTCTTCAAAAACGGTAAAAAGCTATAGAGCTTGATTCTTTTTAATTATACTATTACAATCGTAAGTGTGAGTGGTGCATTTTCCAACTATAATACGAATTAATGGAACTTGAAGAAAGAAATAGTGACTGGTACAAGTGTTAAAGCTAGCCAAGTGAATAAAGATTTTTTTTACGAGAATTTTGTTGCTTGGTAAATTGACGACACAAACCTCCTACGACAAAAAAAAAAACGTAATTCGTAATTCGTAATTCGATGAGATAATTTGAATAATGAATGAATAATAATAATAAAAATAATTCGTTTAAAGCTGAACTGTCGCCAAATTGACGTCTTTGTGTTAACTGTATTTTCTGGGGTCACTTTCCTCAATTTCTAGTTTATCCGAAGTACCAAAACGCGGTGAATTCGCCATTGTGCACAAATTGTTTGTCAATTTTTAAAATTGTTCATTCGTTATCATAACAACCAACAATAATCAGGTTTGAAAAAGTGTGGCATGGAAGTTTGCCCTCATTTTATCCAGATGCAAAGTTAGGGTTAATTTTGTCCGATGTCGAAGTGACAAATTCATCGCGGCTTATGGGATTTTTTATGTATGAATTAAATTATCATATGTAATATCACGAGTAGTCCAAGTTATGTCGATTATTTTTCAAACTGTTGAAAAATTGAATAAGTGAAACCATCAGTTTGAAAAATACCCTACATAACTTGGACTACGACTGGTATTCGGTAGACTATTCCAAGAGCCGTGAACAAATTCCTTTTTTATTCAACCTGACTCAAAACACATTCAAAATAATTTTAGGCATGATTCGATTTTCATGTCAACAAATGCGAGCTCGGAAAATTAAAAAATGTAATGTTTAATAAATATCTGTTTCGTTGTTAATTTAAAAAAAAATCATGTGTTAAAAATATTCGCTGGACCACTAGTGGTATATCTGATAATATTTTCACTGGTGGAATATTCGGTAGAATTCGTTGAAACCGTAGTAACAAATGTGTAAACTCGCATTTTTATTGCTCTACTTTTTACAAATGACAGGCGAATGGAATAATCAGAAATATTGCCTTTTAAAGCAAATTAAAATAACTAATCTTATTTTTTTCAGGCTCGGACGTATGAAAAACTTGCTGGAACCGTAGATCAAGGAAGAGAATATGAACAAATAATGTGTGCATTCTATGCTTTAAAGTTAATTGCAAACGACGAAGTTGAGGATTTCGAAATGACTACGAATCAACAAGGTTTCGGAACTTTCGATGATATAGTTCTTAAAGTGACATTCAAAGACAAAAAAGAACGCACTTTTCTTTTTCAACTTAAACATAAAGAAGCCGCAAAACGTTTAAGGAAGGTGGATTTACGTAAAGGCAAACATGACTTCGATGTTGGAAAATACTGTACATCGATAAACGAAAATATTGAAACATCGGAAGATATTATTTGTGTTCTTTATACAAATTGCCCCCTAGATCTCAAAAATAGTACGGAAATAGAAACAAATATTAACATTGAAAGGTGTCCAAGTGTGGAATTCGAAGATTTGCTATCAAACAAGGAGCTGCAGAAAGTGCAAAGTGTTTTTCGAGTCACACAAAATTCGGAAGACAAAAATTGCAAATTTTATTTATTTTCGGAACAAGGCAACCTCACGCAGACACAGCTATACGTAGAAAAAATGTTAAAGTATTTATTGCGATACAACATTTATGACTCATTTACTCACTTTATAAGTCAATGGTGGTCGAAAAATTTTGTTCTAAGCAAGGATGACGTCATCGCAAAACTCATCGAATTGGCTTTGTCACCACACACGAAAACTTTAACTAGCAACAAACAAAATGACAAAACACAATACCTTAAGGCGGCAATAATGAATTTCCAAATAACCATAGTAAAAAAGCCTGATGAAGAAATTGTTGAAAACATCTGGCCAAACCAAGGAAACACAACTGACGAATGTGGCAAAATCAAGCAAAAGTTTGCAATATGGACAAATGAGGAGACAAAAATTTCGTGGTATTTGAACAAGGCCCCTTTGATAGTGAGAGTAAAAGATGGCAATAGATTTATTATTAAAACCATGACAAAATTAATGAAAAAAGCCACTGATAACAGGAAACTAATTTTGATAGGGAATGTCGCTCGCAGCAATTTTGAAGGCATGGAAGTGTTCCAGAATTTATCTGATCTGATCACCAAATCCAAAGACACGGAACACTGTCAAAATATTTTACGTACCTTCACGATTTCTATTCAAGGACGAGAACCCATTTCTTTGGAACGTCTCGTTAACATTGACAATGAAATTGCCAGACACATTGGACTTGAAGAACTCTTTGTAATGTCTCAAGCAAAGTATGTAAGCGAAAATAAAAAAGACTTGCCTGAGTTCCACATACCCAGAAACGTATCGAGTATTTTTGTGAAAAGGGCGAAAATTACAAGCATTTACGAGTTGCTGAAAGACCAGACCATGATTATTATCAATTGTGATTCTACGTTTAAAGATAAGTTAACATTTAGAAATTTCCATATTCTCGAGTTGTCTGACTATTTAAACAAAGGAAATAATAAACACGAAAATGTTGTAATAGTTTCAATAAAAAGTAGATGCACACCAAAAGAATTCAAGCGCATTTGTGAAAAATCTGGAAAGAGAAATGTGTACTTGCTTCAAACATTTGATGATGATTGTTGTGTTTTACTTTCGAAAAAAGGAAAGAAAATTCCTGGTGTCTGTTTAGATGAGTCGAAAAAAATCAAAGAAGAAGACGTATTGAATCATTTCGATGGTCCCCTGAACACTGTTTGTGCCCCACCCGGAATGGGTAAATCTACATTAATGAAAGTCCTCTACAACAATTGTCCTTCAGATTATTGGGGAGTTTACGTTGAACTGATTCATTGTAATCCTTTCTTTGGCAAGCAACGAAGTTCCGAAGAAATAGAGAAGTACTTTTTAGGTGCGGAAAAACCAAATGAAAAAAGGATTGAAAAACTAATTAGAAATAGTTTGCACAGAAACAAAAAGACTTATTTATATCTTGATGGCTTAGATGAAGTTGATAGTACTTATGTAGATCTTGTTTTAGATTTCGCGGAAAAAGTATCATCAGAGGGTATGAAGGTGTGGATTTCATGCAGAGAGAATTTACGCGACAAAATAGACGAAAAGTTGAATGTAGTATCCATAGAAATCCTGCAGCTAGATCAACAACAGCAGAAACAATACGTACATAAAAAACTGAAAAGCAAATATCGAAAAGAAGAGATAGAAAAAATCTTACAAAAGATATTCGATAGCACAGATCTGAACAACAGTCAAGATTTGCTCGGAATTCCGCTACAGTTATATATAATCACAGAAATGTTTTTACACAATAACGAAGCTTTTAAAAACCTTGACGAAGAAAATATTTTCGTTCTCACATACATGTATAAAGTATTTTTTGAGGGAAAAATAGCAACCACTATTGAAAAACTCGTCGACAAAGAACAAAAGAATCAACTCGGATTTATTAAAGCACTATTAAAACCGTACGAAGTTGTGGCTTTGAAAGTATGTTTAGATAACAAAGACTTTGAGGTACTAGATGTCAATTTACAAGAAACGAAGGAGTTTATTGAAGAAATCAAACTTAATGGGGACAAAAGCGGAATAATAAAGAAAATAGGTGATAACGATGAAGTAATATTTATCCATCAGACGTATGCAGAATACTTTGCAGCCATATGGTTAAAAACAAACAAAAAGAAAGCTTCTTTGTTGAAACAAGTCGTACTTTCGGAAAGGTACGACAATTTACGACTCATGTTTGATGTGATGTTGGCCGACAACAAACCTTTACATTTGTCTATTATATACAAAAATATGAACAAATTTGAACAACATGTAGAAGAGTCAGACGCCAAGGATGCAGGTGGTCGAACTCCATTGCAACTTTTATGTACATATGGAATGAGGTACCCGGTCAAAACCATCCGTAAGAATTCACGGGAACCCATTTGGTACATGACAATGATGGAAGCACTGACCCAGGAAGGTGTTAATATTGACGGTCAAGACGACTTGTTCAAGTTCAGTTGTGTAGATTACGCCCTTGAAGCAAAATGTCTGTACCCAATCGAAATATTTTTGAAACGAGAATTATCAACTTTCGCAAACATGAAAGAAAAAATTTTTCATTACTACAAAGAAGAGCCTTTAATATTTTACGCAGCACAACTGGGATACTCGAATTTATTTTCAGCAATTATTGCAGAAAGTCCAGAACTTGTCAACGTGAAAATATGTAATGAATATTTGTTGCAAACGGCGGTCACTGGGACTCCAGACGATAACGTGGTACCACCCAGAGATGGTAATATCGCTGTGGTAAATGCAATATTTGAATATAAATTCGACATGAACAAAAATATAAGTGATATTGTAATTTTGGATGTGGCTTGTAAAAGCGGCAAGTACGACATGTTGAAAATACTGTTAGGCAACGGTGCTAAGTGTTTCGAAGGCAACACAATATGGCATGCACTCGCACAATCACGACCGAAAAGCTGCGAAGAACTGAAATTATTAGAAAATATTGCGCCTGATGTTGATGTAAATGCGAAGAATGATAAAGGGATAACTGCGTTACATCTTGGAAGCGTAACCGGTAACTACGAAATCGTAAAGTTTCTATTAGCCAATGGAGCCAAACCGAATATAGTAGACGCCGACGGCAACAACCCATTACACTACGTTTCGTGGAATAGAGACTCATGGGACAGTAATCAAGACAAAATAAAATTACTTATCAATAAAGGAATCAACCTGAACGCTCCAACCAAAAATGGGTCCACGGCTCTACAATTTGCATGTGAATATGGTGACTACGAAATTACTAAAATGCTATTAGAAAATCATGCGTCGACAAATATCCTAGACAAAGACAACAACAACGCGTTGCATTATGCGGCAAGATCATGGGAATGCAATAGAGAAATAATAAAGTTATTAATTGAAGAAGGTATCGACGTTCGTACTCCAAATAATGAAAGGACGACGGCATTTGAGCTCGCATGCGAACACGACGATTCTGAAATTAGGGAAATGCTAGTGAAATGTTTAAGAAAATGAAAATATTGTTTGCACTATAATTATTGTAGAGTAGTCAGGAACTAAGACGTACTTTAATTATTATGAATGACAAGATATGTTTGGAACGGTTGAGAAAATATTCTGCATAAGTAAATGGAGCTGTTACAACTAGTGGCTACTAGAACCCATACAAGAAATTAATTATCATCAAAATGGGGGTTTTTCACTTTATAATACAAGTAAGTTACTAAGAAATATTTTTATTTATACAAGTGTTGAGTTGTATGTAAATACTAGTAAGTATACTTTTCAAACGTAAAAGATAACACATCTGTTTTGATTTAATTTATTTATATGTGTATATTAACCTTGATAATCCGAATTAATTGGAGAAAAGGTGTGTTCGGATTAGCAATTTGTTCGGATTACCAAAAATCTGAAAGGGAATTGCATAACATCTTCAACATTGCTAAAAACATATTTCAAGAAATAAACTTCATTGAAATGTCGCAATTTTGAAAAATTTTTAAAAATTCGAATTTTACACCGAATATTGCGAAAATATTGATCCGTGACCCTAAACACGCTATATTTTTTGAGTCAACATATCAAGAACTATAACCCAAAATTTTTGTCTTTAGTTCGCGTATTATAAAAAAATATTTATTAACAGTTTCTTTTTTTTATTTCAGGACAGTTTTTAAATTCGAAAACTTCCAATAATACCGACGTCACTTGTTCTCCTAACACTAAATACGTGAATCACTAGTCGTTCAGCGTCGGATAAGCAGTTTGACATGGACCGGCATTCCACAAGGATCTGAATGCTGTGCGTAGATGTAGCAGATCCACTTTTTTTTGTTGTACAATTTTATATTTGTAATTTTGTCTTTGAAAAGATAAGAAGGTTTTGCAGCTGGGTAAATAAGCTTCACGGAAACTTATTTCACAGCTTTTTCCCTTCTCCAGAGAGGAACCACATTTTTCGGCCGTCCTTTGACAAAATTTAATAAAAGATATTTCCTCCTGCAGATTTGCGTTTTAATTTAACCTTTCCATTTTACATAAATCCGAATTGAAAATACGGTCTGTTGGAAGTTGGATACGTGATACTGGTTTCCTTCTCTTCAGAAACGGGGTAAGTTCGATGTAAATAACTTATTAAAGAGAGACCACGAGATTACTACAAACGCCAGAAAGGTATGCAACACACAATACAAAAAACTATCCCACACCACGATTTACGGTGTATGCGAAATTAGTTGGACGTAATTTTTAAAATGACCTCAGTTGACCTACTTCACAGCCGAGATTTGTAAATTATGTAGTGTTTATGTTACATTTTGGTAATAGAAAACACTGGTGGCGGCACTTAGTTGATGAAAGTTTTAAAGTCGACAAAACATGGTAAATTTGAGTAAAATCTTACCTAAACACCGTTTTTCTATGGAAAAATCCAACTTAAAACGCAACACAGAAAAATGTCATGAGATGGTTAGAAGCTAAATATATTTTACGTTGTCCGCTCTTGTACAATTTGCACAATCCCTTGCAATTGTGCCCGCCCTGTGTAAGAACTGCGAAGGTGTTATCACAAAACAAACATAGCATAATCTAATTTTATAATTTTTCAATAGAGCGAGAGAAGTTCTGTCGTAATAAACTTGGACAATTTTTTTTTTTGTATTACAGCGGATTGGATGTTCCGGTCTAACATACTTTTATGGGGTGTCGTATTAAGCGTGATCATAATCGAAGGAAAAATTTGTGTCAAAGCTGGGTATAGTAAACTGCGTACAGTACCTGTTAACAATATCTATATATCTGTTAAAGAGACATATGCCGGATGCGAAGGTACTGTAGCGTAATGTATCTGCTCGAACACAAATTTATTAAGTTAAGTACACAGAAACGCCACTAATTTATGTTATATTTTTATTTACTGTTTTAAATAAGTTACTTGTTGTTTATGTTGTGTAATTATTTAGAGTAACACCAACGTCTTCAAAAGTACTTAACGAGAGAGCACCAAGGACAGGTGAAGAAAATCAACCCCCAACAAGAAATGTAAAAAAAATAAGAAAAAGAAAAAAAGTCTTGCAAGGGAGAACAAGAAGAAAGTATTCCATTCGTGTCAAGAGAACTATAGTTTACCTCGAGATGAATTAGTTCTCCTGAGACGGGAATGGTACATTTGCCGATACTAGGTATATACTCTATACTAGTTTATTCACAATAATTATATATACTATATTAATAAAAAAACTGCTTACTTACCTCCATAAAATGAGTTAAATAAAATTTGTCAAATAGAAAAGTTGGTTGCATACTCTAGATAATTTAATTTGACGTTTATAGTTTAAATTTAGATGAGTTTAAAAGCGGTACTTTCCTAACTGGTTTGCATAAAACTTACTTACTCAGATGGTGCACGGCTTTGAAGTAATAAAGCCCTTCGACCCCCAGAATCCGTTTCACTGCGACCATGACACAGACACTCACAACTCGCGCTAGCTACTTTACACTGGGAAAACCTCTCGAGGATAGATTCTTCACAGAAAAAGGAAAAACAACAACTCTCGAAGAGCTTACCAATCGCCAGTACTTTTTGGTCACTAAAAATTGTTAAATTCGTTTTGTTGATTTTTCGTTTCCATGGAGACCATGCAGAGACGTTGCGTTTATGGGTGAAATTTTACAAAACCCACTTCTCGATTTCGCACAAACTGTCTACGCAAAACTCTTCTACATCTTGATCACGTTCCTCACTTTCAAAAGTTGTGCAAATACCTCCTTGTGTCAAAAAATATTTAGTGTTCGCCCTATACATTACAAGCTATTAGTTACACCGAATGTAGGCAACCGACTATACACACATTTTAACATGAACGAATTCCAGTAACTAAATGATCCACAAAGCAAGAAGTTCCACCGTTTAGGGGTGTGTTTGTAATGGAGTCCAAGGCGCTTCACGCCCTACCTCAACTAATACCGGTCATTACAGCCACGCGTGTTAGTGACTATAAAAAGTTAGGTTATGTTAGCAACAGTTCCCAGAGTGCATGAATGGGAAATTTAACAATTTTTTTGTGGCTAAAGGAAGCATTGCACAACATTTGAAGGTGAGGAACGTGATCAGGGCGTGGTGTAGAATAGTTTTGTGCAAAAAGTTTGTACGAAGGTGTGAAATAAATTTCCATCAATTCCATTCCATTTCCATTTTAGAAAACAAAATTACAAATTTCAATTAACAAAATAATAATACACTCTTATGAAAAATAATACAAACAAAAAAATAAGGAAAAATCAAGGATGGTTGGTTGTCGATTTAAAATTAGCACATGGGTAGGAGAAATTAATTTCTGTTAAAAACTATGATTGAAACAAATTTTTGGGTTATTAAATTCTAAATTATGGGCAGCAATGTTAGCAAGTCAATTCAAAGTGTCGATTTTGACATCTAAAAAATTTAAATATAACGTCATAAAATTTTAAATATGTTGCCAAAGTGACAAAAAAAATCGCAAACATTAATAGACACTCAGTATACAGTAATAGACAACTCTGGAAACGTACGTACGTCTAAATCCTTAAAATATGGAGTACAGTATGAGACCCTAACACTCAATAATACCTAATACAAAAAATCACGTCAAGCATCGACATCGACGATTTTTACTTTTATTACGAAATCACTGTAAAATCAAAAACAATAGGTACCTATATTGACTAACAAATTGTAAAAAATGTTCTAAAATGTAAAACGTTTTAAAAACTTTAAGTACAGGTCCTCTGGCGCTGACGCTGAAGAAGTGGTCACAGATGATCGGACTAATGACAGCTTTAAGGTCTTTCAGTCTGCACAGGCGATGAAGAAAAAATGATGGGAATAATAGGGTTAAGATAACCGGTATTAACTCCAAATGAGATTATTATTATATATATTTTTCTCGTAAATGACTCTTTGGCTGAATAAAATTCGGCAACTGTGGCGTTCTTATGAGCAAGTAAGAAAAAAAAACTGATTTTTTTTATAAAATTTTGTTTTAGATAATTTATGGTCTTGTTTTCGTTGTAATTCGTCAATTTTCTACATTCATATAGGTGAAAGACGCACAGATGAGTAATAACGTATGTGTATATTTGGTTGCATAATCTAATTTTTATTTTTCAACGGCATTAATATGTTACCTCATTTAAAGTTCTGCCAGTTAATAAGATATTCGTAAATTTGTGTATTTATTTACTTTAATTTGTGTGTGTGTGGTGATGATCCTCTTCGAAAACCCTTCTGAAAATTGCTATGGTAGATAACCATGATAAACCGACGTTTTTCAGACCTTCTTTCTTTTGTTAGGGCCTCATCAGATTTGAAAATTGTCTTCTGAAACAAAAAAATATTAGAAAAGCTGTTATTATATTATTATTTTTGTTTTTTAAACAATTTGATGTAGGTATAAATACTATATTAATATAATTTTATCGTAGAACAAATTGGTCGAAAGTTATTTCGACAAAACTGCCCTCGCTTCATTTGGCGCGCTCGAGAAGGTTTTACATTTTTAAAAAAGACAGTTGGGACCCCCGAGAAGGTTACACATTCGTAAAAAATACATTTGGGACCCCCGAGAAAGTTTCACATTCTTAAAAAATTACCTTTGAGGTCCCCGAGAAGGTTCTACATTTTTAAAAAAGATATTTGGGACCCCCGAGAAGGTTTCACATAAAAAAAGATATTTCGCGCTCTCGAGAAGGTTTTACATTTTTAAAAGAGACAGTTGGAACCCCTGAGAAGGTTTTACATATTCAAAAAAGACAGTTCAAAGTGTTGGAACCCCCGAGAAGGTTTCACATTACAAAAAGTGACATTTGGGACCCCCGAAAAGATTTTGCTTTTTTAAAAAAGACAGTTGGGACCCCCGCGAAGGTTTCATATTAAAAAATACATTTGGCGCTCCCGAGAAGGTTTTACATTCTTAAAAGAGATAGTTGTAACCTCTGAGAAGACGTCATATTCTTAAAAAAACGCATTTGGCGCTCCCGAGAAGGTTTTACATTTTTAAATAAACACATTTTTAAAAAAGAGAAGAAAAAAACGAAAGGTCAAGTTTGGAACAGAACGAGCGACGGCCGGTTTGCATTCCAGACTCGTGATCAGTAGACCACGACCGGGATGCCTTACGCTAATGTTAAACTGTATTATATCGTGCATTATGTTTTTGCAAAAATTTGGACAGTTAGGGAAAAACTCAAAACGGATTGGTACACCACACTTATAGCACTATATAGTTGTATCTTGTATCACAGTTAAATCAAATAGACAAAGGGTTTTTTGAAATGACGTCATCAAATTGTTGGGGTGGAAATGATTAGCAAAATTTTGGTTAGCATTTAACCATCTACATGATATTTCTAATATATGTACATACAAAATTTGACAAAAATCAGTCTAGCAGTTTCGGAGATTACGTTTCTAATAGAAATGGATACAGATATCAGACAGACGGACTAGGGGTCATGAAACGTCGAGAAAATATAATCGTCCGATGCATTCCATTACTATACTTCCTTAGCTTATGCTTGGGAATTAAAAATGAAAAAATTGTTACATCTCCTCTACCGGGTCCTCTTAAATTATTCTGTGAAAACTTTTCTACATTAAACTAACAAATATACATATGCTGACATTTTAAAATTCTTGTTTAGAAATATGGTTCAAAAAAACACCTAAATAAAATAATAAAATACTAACCTGGAAGATACGCCGACATACTGTTTCAATTTTGAATAAAGCCCACACCTAAGAAACTAGAACTTTTCTTTTTTTCTTTTACTCTTCTTCACAGTGTTGTCCTACATGTCGATGCCTTTCTCAGTCAATAATTTCATTATAATATCTCGACTATCTTTCTGAGATGTTGATGTATAGTGCAACGCGTTCCGATGGTCTTTGTCCGTAACGGTAACAAAAGCCCCGAAATCTAACAACATTTCTACGTTTCCATAAACACCCTCACGACAGGCAATTTGTAAAGCGGTCATTCCATGTTTGTCTTGATCATTCACGGCGATGCCTTTGTCAATTAGTAACTTTACTATATCTTGATTGTTTTTCTTCGATGCTGAGGCATAATGTAACGCGTTCCGTTTACGTTTCTCGCTAATATTAACCGAAGCTTCACACTCCAACAACATTTCTACGTTTTCGTAAATCCCTCCTTGACACGCTATATGTAAAGCAGTGACTCCACTTTTGTTTGGAGCATTTACATCGATGCCTTTTTTGAATAGCAATTTAATTATGTCTCGATTGACTTTTTTCGATGCTGAGGCATAGTGGAACGCGTTGTTGTTGTCGTCATCGGTAATGTGAATGCAAGCGCCTGAGTCTAATAACAGATTTGCATTTTCAAGAATACCCTCTAGACAGGCAATTTGTAAAGCGGTCGTTCCTTTTTTTTTCCGAGCATTTACATCCATGCCTTTTTTCAGAAGCAGTTGGATTATGTTTGGATTGAACTTGTTTGAAGCTGAGGCATAATGTAAGGCGTTCTGGTTACTTTCGTCAGTAAGGTCAAGCGAAACGCCGGAATCCAGCAACGTTTCTACACTTTCATAAACACCTTCTAGACATGCGATATGTAAAGCAGTGATGCCGTGTTTATTTTGAGCATTTACGTTGATCCCCTTGTCAAGCAACAGTTTGATTATTTTTTGGTTGACTTTGTTTGATGCTAAGGCATAGTGTAAGGCATTCTCGTTTCTTTCGTCGGTCATGTTAAGCCAGGCACCGGAGTCTAGCAACGTTTCAGCATTTTTATAGACACCTTCTCGACATGCAATTTGTAAAGGAGTGGTACCATTTTTATGCTGACAATCGACACTAATGCCTTTGTTAAGTAGCAGTTTTATTATTTTTGGATTGACTGTCCTTGAGGCAGAGGCATAGTGTAATGCATTCTTGTTGTTTTTGTCCGTAGTGTTAATCGAAGCGGCGCAATTTAACAACGTTTCTACATTTTCATAAACACCCTCCAGACAGGTAAGGTGTAAAGCGGTCGTTCCATTTTCGTTTTGAGCATTTACATCGATGCCTCTCTCAATCAATAGTTTTATTGTATTTCGATTGATTCCTCTCGATGTGGAGGCATAGTGTAAAGCATTCTTCTTGTGTTCGTCGTCAGTGTTAACCGAAGCACCGAAACCTAGCAACGTTTCTACATTTTCATAAACACCCTCAAGACAGGCAATATATAAAGGGGTCATTCCATTTTTAGTTCGTGCATTGAGGTTGATGCCTTCTGCAATCAACAGTAACATGATATCTTGGTTGACCTTCTTCGATGCTGATGCATAATGTAATGCATTCTTGTTGTTAGTACCCGTAGTGTTAACCGAAGCGCCGGAGTCTAGCAACGTTTTTGCATTTTCGTAAACACCCTTCAGACAGGCAAGGTGTAAAGCGGTCATTCCACTTTTAGTTTTTACATCTAAATCCATGCCTTTCTCAGTCAATAATTTTATAATGTTTCGATTACCTTTCACCGACTGTGAGGCATAATGTAAAGCGTTCTTGCCGTGTTCGTCTACAGTGTCAATCGAAGCGAAACGTAACAGCGTTTCTGCATTTTCATAAACACCTTCGAGACACGCAATTTGTAAAGGGGTCATTCCATTTTGAGTTCGAGCATTGACATTGATGCCTTTATCACACAACAATTCTATGACATCTCGATTAGGTTTCTTCGATGCTGAAGCATAATGTAACAAATTCTTCTTATCGTGGTCTGTAAGGTCAAACGAAGCACCCAAGTCCAACAACGTTTCTACATTCTCATAAACACCCCCAAGACAAGCAAGTTGTAAAGCCGTCGTTCCATTTTGATTTTGCGCATATAAATCCATGCCTTCGTCAGTTAACAAGTTGATTATACGTTGATTGCCTTCTAGAGACTGTGAGGCATAATGCAAGGCATTGTTGTGATGTTCGTCCAAAATGTCAATCGAAGCACCGAACCGTAGCAACGTTTCTGCGTTTTCGTAAACACCTTCACGACATGCAATTTGCAAGGCAGTCATTCCATTTTTGCTTTGAGTATCTACGCCAATGCCTTTGTCAAGCAAGAGTTTAATTGTGTCTCGATTGACTCTCTTCGATGCTGATGCGTAATGCAACGCATTTTTGTTGTCGTTGTCGATAATATTAGTAGGAATGCCACAATCGATCAATGTTTTTACATTTTGATAAACACCCTCCAGACAGGCATTTTGCAAAACTGTTGCATTTAATTCAATGCCTCTCTCAAGCAACAATTTTATTATATTTTGATTGTCTTGCAACGACTGTGAGGCATAATGTAAGGCATTCTTGTTGCGTTCGTCCACTAAGTTAATCGAAGCCCCGAAACGTAGCAACGTTTCTGCGTTTTCATGAACACCCTCACGACAGGCAACTTGCAAAGCGGTCATTCCGTGTATAGTTTGAGCATTTATACAAATGCCTTTTTCAAGCAACAGTGTTATTATATTTTGATTGACTCTTCGTGATGCTGCTGCATAATGCATTGCGTTCTCGTTGTTTTTGTCTCTAGTTTTAATGGAAGCACCAGAATCCAATAATAAAGTTGCATTTGCATAGACACCCTCATAACAAGCAATGTGTAAAGCGGTCCTTCCATTGTTGTCTTGGGCATTTATATCAATCCCTTTTTCAAGCAATAATTTTATTACGTCAGGATTGACTTGCTTAACTGCGTAATGTAACACATTGTGGTTGTAGTTGTCATTAATATTAATAGAAGCGCCGGAGTCTAGTAACACTTCTACATTGTCGTAGACACCCTCTATACACGCAATATGCAAAGCGGTCATTCCATTTTTAGCTTGAGCATTTACGTCAATCCCTTTGTCAAGCAACAATTCTATTATAGATCTATTGACGTGCTTGGAAGCGGCGGCATAATGTAAAACATTGTGGTTATTTTTGTCTGCAATGTCAATCGAGGCGCCACAATCCAGCAACATTTCCACATTGTCATAAACACCCGCTTGACACGCAAAATGTAATGCAGTCGTTTTGACTTTATCTTGCGCATTCAAGTCAATCTCTTTCGCCAAAACCTGGATTATAACTTGATTGACTCGTGGTGAAGCTGACGCATAATGTAACGAATTCTTGTCATCGTGGTCTGTAAGATTGACCGAGGCACCGCAATCCAATAACAATTTCGCATTTTCCTGTACACCTTCGAGACACGCAGTTTGTAAAGGGGTCATTCCATTTTGACTTTGAGCATTGACATTGATGCCTTTCTCACATAACAATTCTATGACATCTCGATTAGCTTTCTTCGATGCTGACGCATAATGTAACAAATTCTTCTTATCGTGGTCTATAATGTCAAACGAAGCACCCAAGTCCAACAACGTTTCTACATTCTCATAAACACCCCCAAGACAAGCAAATTGTAAAGCCGTCGTTCCATTTTGATTTTGCGCATCTAAATCCATGCCTTCGTCAGTCAACAAGTTGATTATACGTTGATTGCCTTCCAGAGACTGTGAGGCATAATGCAAGGCATTGTTGTGGTGTTCGTCCACAATGTCAATCGAAGCACCCAACCGTAGCAACGTTTCTGTGTTTTCGTAAACACCTTCACGGCAGGCAATTTGCAAAGCGGTCATTTCACTTTTGTTTCGAGCATCTATGTCAATGCCTTTGTCAAGCAAGAGTTTAATTGTGTCTCGATTGACTCTCTTCGATGCTGATGCGTAATGCAACGCAGTTTTGTTGGCGTTGTCGATAAGATACGTGGGAATGCCACAATCTATCAATGTTTTTACATTTTGATAAACACCCTCCAGACAGGCATTTTGCAAAACTGTTACATCTAATTCCATGCCTCTCTCAAGCAACAATTTTATTATATTTTGATTGTCTTGCAACGACTGTGAGGCGTAATGTAAGGCATTCTTGTTGCGTTCATCCACTAAGTTAATCGAAGCCCCGAAACGTAGCAACGTTTCTGCGTTTTCATAAACACCCTCACGACAAGCAATTTGCAAAGCGGTCATTCCGTATATAGTTTGAGCATTTATATAAATGCCTTTTTCAAGCAACAGTGTTATTATATTTCGATTGACTCTTCGTGATGCTGCTGCATAATGCATCGCGTTCTCCTTGTTTTTATCTCTAGTGTTAATGGAAGCACTCGAATCCAGTAAAAAAGTTGCATTTGCATGGACACCCTCATAACAAGCAATCTGTAAAGCGGTCCTTCCATTGTTGTCTTGCGCATTTATATCAATCCCTTTTTCAAGCAACAATTTTATTACGTCAGGATTGACTTGCTTAACTGCGTAATGTAACACATTGTGGTTGTCGTTGTCGTTAATATTAATAGAAGCGCCGGAGTCTAGTAACACTTCTACATTGTCGTAGACACCCTCTAGACACGCAATATGCAAAGCGGTCATTCCATTTTTAGCTTGAGCATTTACGTCAATCCCTTTGTCAAGCAACAATTCTATTATAGATCGATTGATGTGCTTGGAAGCGGCTGCATAATGTAAAACATTGTGGTTATCTTTGTCTACAACGTTAATCGAGGCGCCACAATCCAACAACATTTCCACATTGTCATAAACACCTTCTTGACACGCAAGATGCAATGCGGTCGTTTTGACTTTATCTTGCGCATTCAAGTCAATCTCTTTCGTCAGAACGTTGATTATAGTTTGATTGACTCGTGGTGAAGCTGACGCATAATGCAACGAATTCCTGTCATCATGATCTGTAAGATTGACCGAGGCGCCGCAATCCAATAACAATTTCGCATTTTCGTGCACGCCCTCTAGACATGCGATTTGTAAAGCAGTCACTCCGTTTGTACTGCGAGCATTCACGTCAATCCCTTTGTCAATCAGCAATTTTATTATGTTTCGATTGACTTGCTTAGATGAAGAGGCATAGTGCAACGGATTCCGATTATCATTGTCTTTTGTGTGAATCGAGACACCCAAATCTAATAACGTTTTTACATTTTCGTAAACTCCTCCTTGACAAGCAATGAGTAAAGCGATTCTAGGGTCATTCATGTTGTTTCTAAACAGCAGTGTGATTATATCTGGATTGACCTTCCTTGATGCTGAGGCATAGTGGAATATGTTGTGGTTGCTTTTGTCCGTAAGGTTAGTCGAGGCTCCTGAATCTAGCAACAGTTCTGCATTCTGATGACCACCTTCTAGACAAGCAATTTGTAAAGCTGTCATTCCGTTTTTGTTTTGAGAATTTATATTGAGTCCTTTTCTAAGCAACAATTGTATGACAGAGCGATTATCTTTTTTCGGTGCTGAGGCATAGTGTAACGAATTGTTCTGATGGTGGTCCGTAACGGCAATCAAGGCACCCGAGTCCAACAACGTTTCTGCATTGTCATATACACCTTCACGACACGCGATTTGTAAAGCAGTCGTCCCATTTTGATCTTGTGCATTCAAATCTATGCCTTTCTGGATTAATAATTTTAACACATCTCTATTTTCTGGACAAAATTGGGCCGCATAATGTAACGCGTTTTTGTCATGTTTGTCTACAGTGTCAATTGAGGCGCCAAAATCCAACAAGACTTTAGCAACATCGTAGTTACTGTGACCACAAGCAATGTGTAAAGCGGTTGCCCCATTTACATTTTGAGCATCCACATCCATGCCTTTCTCAAGCAACAATTTAATTATATCTGGATTGCTTTTCGTTGATTTGGATGCATAATGCAAAGGATTGTTGCCTTTTTCATCCACAATGTAGATGGAAGCTTCAGAATCCAGGAGCATTTTTGTGTTTTTATAATTACCGGTTTGACATGCCAGATGTAGAGCAGTCGTCCCATTTAATTCTTGAGCATCTACATTGATACCTTTCTCGATCAGCAATTTTATTACATCTTCATTGTCTTCCAATGACAGTGAAGCATAATGCAAAAGAGTGTTGTTTTCTTCGTCGGTAACATACAAATCGGCTTCTTTTTTCAACAGTATTTTTGCTACACCTGACGCACCGAAGTGGCTTGCAACTTGTAAGGCAGTTAGTCCTCCATTGCACTTTTTGTTTATATCTTCAGCTGCTTCTATATTTTCTAATAATTCCAATTCTGCGTCACTAGGTTTCGTTTTATCTATTGATAGTCGGTGCCATATTGTCGTACCACTACACTGGAGTCCATTTTTGACTAACACTTGTAACATGTCATATTTGCGGTTTTCAAATGCCATGTCTAAAATAGAGGAATTGTGGCCAACGGAACAACAACGTAATAACATATTTACAATGGAAATATTGCCTTTCCTAGGTGGTACGATGCGGTCGTTCCAAGTTCCATTGACCGCAGTTACCAATAACGTTTGACCACGTATTTTTTGAAACAAGAGTTGTGGTTTTTCTAGAATTAGAGCGCAAAACAAGTATCGGTATCCCATTTGCGCCGCATAATATACCAAGGTGTCTATTTTAGAGTACCTAAAAATAGTTTCTTTGATTTGGTCAAAATTCACCAGCTTATTTTCCAAAATTGCTTCCATCGTGTACAAACATTGCGCCTCAAGACAATAATCTAAGTAAGTGTAATTAAAGAGATCGTCTTTGGTTTCCATACTAGTACCATTATGGAGCATTATTTTTACCATTGCTATGTACCAAGGGTGTTCACGACTCCGCATATCCGCAATTTTTTGACCATGGGTACATATCAGGTGCATTGGTGTCCGACCACCTCGATCCGTAGTGTTCAATTTGTCTTTGTGTTTCTCAAATTGGTCCAGATCGTGATTGATAATAGACAAATGTAGTGGATTGTCCTTCGCTAGTAATAAATCCAAAATAGCTCGTAAATTTTTGTATTTTTCGGTAAACATTACTTGGTGTAACAAAGTCCGATTTTTGTGGTGTTCCAACCAGACACAGGTCAAGTATTCCGCACAAATTTGGTGCTCAAATACTGGGTCACCATTTCTGGTTATTCCCTTGATGATTCCGTACTTGTCACCACGTTGAATTTGATCCATAAAATTTTCAAATTTTTCCAAATTTAGACCGATTTTTTCAAAATGCTTGACATCCAAGCATGCTTTTAGAGCAGGGACTTCGTATAGTTTCAAGTGGGTTGAGATAACTTCTGTGTCTATACTGTCAAGGACATGTGATATTTTTGCCTCCAAAAACAAGTGGCACAGTTCTATTGGTACCAAGATGTTTTGTTCCTCAATGTTGGTGTAAAGACCGTCGTTACTAAGAAGCCTGTCGCTGATTACTTGTAGTAGAAGAGGATTCCCTAACAATGCTTGATTGTTAAAATTGTCATCTGCCAATATTACAGTAACAATTTTCTCTATTTGTTCCTTTGTATACTTGTGTCTGAGTTTCCCTTCCATGTACTCTTCTTGTTGTTCTTTATTCAATTCGCGAATTTCAATTGGAACTACGTTTAATGTTCGTGATAATTTTTCTCGTAAGTTATCTCTTGACGAAATCCACACTCTGATTCCTCTAGATGACGCCTCTTTTGCGAAATTCAGGACACAATTGACGTAAGAACTGTCAACTTCGTTTAAACCATCAAGATACAAAATGCTTGGTGAATTTTCGTTTTTCACGAAAAAGTTCAACATTGTTTCAAAGCCCGGATTTTCTGAAAACAATTCATTGCATTGGCTTAAATCGACGTAACTTCCACCCGTGTTGGCAAGATTTTTCATCAGTGTTGATTTGCCGATGCCAGTGGGGCCACAAATTGCGTGAACGGGACTATCAAAATAGTTTGATATGTCTTCTTGTGGTATAGTTGTTTGGTCTGTCAAGTCCGACGACAATTCGTTCCCTTGTTGTAACAAAAGGGCGGACAATTTGTCATCAACGTTTTGAAATAAGTATACATTCGATTTGTTAGATTTTTGACAAACTAGGGCGAATTCATCGTGTGTACACTTTCTTTTTGTCGACACTATTATAAAATGTCTATCTTTGTTGTATCTTTCCTCTAGGTAGTCACATATTTCGACGCTATGAATTTTTTTGAAGAGTGAGATTTTTTCCAGTAATGTTGCATCACAGTTAATGATTATCGCTGCTTGATTTTTTTTGTAAATGTGATGGATGTTGTCAGTCTTGACGAAAACGGTTGATACGTTTCTTGGTATGTGTAAATCAGGTGCGTCCGATGGGTGCTTCGTAAACTGAAAAAGATCATACATTTGTTTCTTCAACTTTTTGTATTTTCAGAACAAAATTTGTCAATTTAGCAACATTTAAATGTTTATCGTATCAATATTTTACTGCGATATTATCACAAGTTGTACGTTTTTACTTGTTGGGCGTAAGCTAAGAGTATGTCAAAAATCAGAATTTTTAAATTTTTTGATTTTTCGACTTGGCACTTTTAGATATTTCGGTTTTTCAATTTTTCATTTTTAAAATTTTTCGACTTTTCAGCTTTTCGATTTTTCGATCTATCGGTTTTTTTAGTTTAAAAGTTTCAATTTTCAATTTTCCGATTTTTCGATTTTCCAATTTTTTGATTTCTTAAGTTTATGATGTGTCATTTTTCAAATTTCAGATTTTTCGACTTTTCAGTTTTTCATTTATTGATTTGTCGGATTTGCGATTTTTCAATATTTAGATATTTCAATTTTTCAATATTTCGACTTTTCGAGTTTTAGATTTTTCAGTGCTTTCGTTTTTCTGTTTTTTAATTTTTAGAATTTTTAACTTTTTATATTTCAGTTTTTGATGATTTCATTTCCCGAGCTTTTAATTTTTCAACTTTCAAGATTTTTTATTTTCAAATTTTTCGCATTTTCCATTTATGGAGATTTCGATGTTTTTCGATTTATCATTATTTTTTAGTTTAAATGTTTCAGTTTTGAATTTTTCGATATTTGGATTTTGGGTTATTTCGATTTCTCGATTTTCATATTTTCCCCTAATTTTTCTATTTTTCAATTTTTTGAAATTTCGATATCCAGATTTCGATGTTTTTCAATTTCTTGATTTCCCAATCTTTTGAAGTTTTTCGATTTTTCAATTTTTCAACATTTCGTTTTGAGAATTTTCAATTTCTTGACATTTTAAATTTTACAGTTTTCGATTGTTGATTTTGGGTTTTTGATTTTTAGTTTTTTAAATTTCACATTTGAGATTTCTACATTTTTCAGTGCTACGGTTTTTCGATTCCCCAATTTTAAATTTTTTAGATATATACCAATTTTTCGATTTTTCGAATTTTAAAATTTTTAATTTTTAGCCTTTTAATTTTTCGTAATTTTTGGATATTTTCATTTCTGAATTTTTTCATGTTTCAAATGTTCGAGCATTCTATTTTTCAACTTTTTGAATTTAAATTTTTCAGTTTTTGAAATTTTAGATTTTTAAAATTTTTCACTTTTTAATTTTTCAATTACCCAATTTTTAGATTTTTGAACTTTTTTATTCCTTGATCTTTCAATTTTTCGGTTCTTCAATTTTTCGATTGTTAACATTTTGGATTTTTCGATTTGTCGATTTTTCAATTTTTAGTTTTTTTTTAAGTTTAAATGCTTCAGTTTTGAATTTTTCAATTTTTCCATTTATCGACTTCTCGATTTCACGATCTTTTGATTTTTTTCTATTTTTGGATTTTCCAATTTTTTGATTATTCAATTTTACGACATTTCGTTGTGGGATTTCTCAATTTCTCGATTTTTCAGTTTTTCAATTCTTCAATTTCTCGAAATTTGAAATTTTAGATTCTTCAATTTCTTGATTTCTAGTTTTTTGTCTTTTTTTTATTTTTCGATTTTGTAAACTTTACATTTCCGGTTTTACGATTTTGTGATGTTTAGATTTCCCCATCTTTTGTTTTTTCGACTTCTTACTTTAGATTTATCGGTTTTTCAGTTTTTCTATTTTTAAAATTAATCCATTTATCGATTTTAAATTTTCCGATTTTTCAGTTTTTGGATTTTTCGATTTATCGTTTTTGTTTTAAGTTTAAATGTTTCAATTTTCAATTTTTCGATCTTTGATTTCTCAATTTTTTTTCGATTTTTCTATTTTTCGATTTCTTGACTTTATGTCAGTTTTGGGATTTTTTAATTTTTCTATTTTTTTTCAATTTTTCATATTTTAGAATTGTCGACTTTTCGGTTTTTTAATTCTTCAATTTTTGAATTTCGAATTTCGCGAATTTTAGATTTTCCAGTGCTTACGAATTTTTATATTATTTTCTGACCTTTTTATTTCTCGAGCTCTTGATTTTTCGACTTCTTGCTCTTGGATTTTTTATTTTTTTAGTTCCTCAATTTTTTTTTTTTGATTTTCCAATTTTTCGAACTTTCGATTTATGAAGATTTCGATGTTTTTCGATTTATCATTCTTTTTTAGTTTAAATGTTTCCATTTTGAATTTTCAGATATTTCGATTTTGGGTTATTTCGATTTCTCGATTTTCAGATTTTTCTTTAATTTTCCGTTTTTTCCAATTTTTCGAATCTTCGATTTAACGACATTTCGATGTTTCGATTTTTCAATTTTTCAACATTTCATTTTGAGAGTTTTTAGTTTCTCGATATTTCAGATTTTAGAGTTTTCGATTTCTTGATTTTTTTTTAATTTTTGATATTCCAATTTTTCGAACTTTCAATTTATGAAGATTTCGATGTTTTTCGGTTTATCATTCTTTTTTAGTTTAAATGCTTCAATTTTGAATTTTTCATTTTTTCAATTTATCGACTTCTCGATTTCTCTTTCTTTTGATGTTTTTTGATTTTTGGATTTTTCGATTTTCCAATTTTAGGATTTCTTAATTTTTCTATTTTTTTAAATTTTCTAAATTTCAGATTTTTCGACTCTTTAGATTTTCAATTATTTGATTTTTCTGTCTTTTGAATCCTCGATTTTGCAATTTTTCAGTTCTTTGATTTTTCAATTCTTTGCATTTTTATATTTCACATTTTTTACTTTTCTTAGGTTTTGATTTTTCGACATCTCGCTTTTGGATTTTTCAATCTTTCAATTTTTAAAAATTTTTATTTTCCAAGTTTTCGAATTTCGATTTATGGAGATGGCAATGTTTCGATTTTTCAATTTTTTGATTTTCGACTTCTCAAGTTCTCGATCTTTTGAAGTTTATCAATTTTTCAATGATTAATTCATTTTGGTGTTTTTCAATTTCTCGATATTTCAAACTTTAGGTTTTTCGACTTCTTGATTAGGGGATTTTTGATTTTATGTTTTTTAAATTTTACATCTTCGACTTCTCCATTTTCCCTTTTACGATTTATTGATTTCAAAAATTATAAAATCTGGATTTTTCAATTTATTTAATTTTATATGTCTTTTGATATTTCGATTGCTCGACCTTTCAATTTTTGGACTTCAGATTGTTCAGTTTTTCAATTTTTCGATTTTCAATTTTTCAATTTTTCGATTTTTCAATTTTTCAATTTTTGATTTTTCGATATATCGTTTTTTTTGTAAGTTTAAGTTTTGAGTTTCAGTATTGAAATTTTCGAATTTTAGATTTATTGATTTCAAAAAATGTTTATAATTTTTCAAAGAAGCGGAATTTGTTGGGCTACACTTCAAGGTCTAGGAAAATTCGACGATTTTTTTTTATATTCGTAGTGTTGTATCTGAGAGATTAGATATTTTTCAAGTGAAACGATTTTAATGTCAAGTATTATCTCGAGGCAAACATTCGTTCTGAAAGTATTTAATGAGCTTTATAAGCTGCATATGTTATATATATATATATATATATTTTTTTAAGAATGTTCAAAATATCTGCACGTGGAATTGATTTTGTATATATAATAATCAAATTTAAATTTGATTTTTACATAGTAAATTATAGTGCATTTACCTTTTTTAAGACAGAACTGTTTTCGTTATTTAACGAATGAATTTCAGAATTTTGTTTTTTTCTTGCTTTCCTTGTGTTCATAGTATCTTCTATTTGTTTTGTCTCTTCCTTGAGTGGTTTCAGTCTTTCTTTTTCTTGTTTACTATCTGATTCTGAAGAATTAACTTCCATGGTGATATCCTGCTGAAAATGTATAAACACCACTTGAACAACTGTAAATATGTATTTTTTTTTAAACATAAATAAATTACAAAGTACGAAAGAGTTCCGATTTTCTATTTTTTTAAGTCCATAGTAATGGAAAAATTTAATCCATTTATTCTCTATTTATTAATCTATTACGTCTGCGGTCCTTGACAGTATTTTTTTTATAATTGTCAACATCAGCGATAATATCTACAATTTACTTTTTGTTAACATCTGATTCCTTCTCAATGAAGACAAAGAAAACATCAAAACATTAAAATGATTAATTATATAACTAAAATTTTCCTCAATTTGTGTAATAAAACTTTAACCACAATGTTTAAATAACACCAAAATTTACAATTTCGGAGTAAGTAACCCAAACTCGTATCAATAAATTCGTCGAGGTCAAATTTATTGAGTCTTGTGCAAACATTTACAGCCACTGCAAACTGATTCTTTTTGTGATAAGTGATAAGATATCTTGTTGAATTCCCAATTTAATTTAACTAAAAATAACGTATGAATAACAAAATTTTCGATAAAAAATACTGTGACCAGTACACGTAAACTTCTCATACTTATTTTTAATAAAAATCTACCCTCTATATTTATCATGCCGTACGTGTGTTGATCACAGCCTACCCCAAATAAACATTTTGTTGTACATGTGATATTTTTAGAACATCAAATTTAGAAAAATGTGGGTCAATTGGAAATGAAGAATATAAGCGCATTCAAATTGAAATTTTTACCTCACTTTTGAAGAGGCACATACCTTAATCTGTGATTAGATTTAACGCAAAAACTCACATATTTGATAAATTAACTTTCACTCATGACTAACGTAAAAGTATAAATATTTCTATACTTTGTTATTTTATTATATATTTAAACTGATAAGATTAGCAATAGGTAGGTATATGTGCATTTTTAAATATACAAAATTTCGCGTTTAAAATATACTCGAATCGATAGTACGTAGTTTCGTAGGTTCTTATTATATCTGTAAACCTATTTTATTAATTATTATTATTTACAGATACACAAACATTTTTAAAAAAATAAATTTGCTAGAACGAAAAAACGATGTAGAATAGCGATGGTGTATTGTTGGTTGCATAAGCGACAATTTTAAATTAAATAATCCAACGCAAAATTATCCAGAATAATTTAACTAATTAATAATAAATATATCGATTTGTCTTAACATTTGCATTTTTATTTACTTCTAATTTAAATTCAAACAAATTTTGTTCTTGTTATTTAGTACAAAAGAAAATTATGTTTATTTTTGGTTGGTAATACTTTGACAGAGCGAGCTAACTTCAAAACCACAAGCGCGTTAAAAATGGTTCTGTGTTGTGTTCAGTTCGACTTTTTCATAGAAAAACCGTGTTCAGGTAGGGTTTTAGTCAAATTTACCATCTTCTACACACTTTGAAACTTTTGCCCCATCTTTTACAAACAATTTCGCGAAGTTTTGTTTCAAAATCGAAATAATGTTTTTGTCCCAAGATCGGAACAAAAATTTAATAATTTCGACCGTGTAGCAGTCAAATTTTAACAATTTTACATCAAACTGAGTGTGTACACATCAAAGAGTTGAAAGTTTAAAATTTCTGATAATTATAATTAACACTCGGTGTGAAGATAGGCTCTGTCTATCCACCGACGTATAGCGGGTTGCCGATCTTTTGCATCGATTTGATTGTTGCTTGTTATTTAAACAGATCCTATTTTATTGTAGTGTTCAATTTTATTTCTTTTTAGTTGGTAACAACTTTGACAGAACGAGCCAACTTCAAAACCAAGCTTGTTCAAAATGGTGTCTGTGTTGCGTTTTGAGTTGGATTTTTTCGTAGAAAAGCCGTGTTCAGGTAGGATTTTAGTTAAATTTACCACATTTTATCGACTTTAAAACTTCTTACCGAACTTTTTACGAACACTTTCGGTGTCGTGAATTTCAGTTTCAACAACGAAGTTTCCCACTGTGGAAGTAGATTTATGAGGAATTAGGGTTAAATAAGTGCCGTTATTTAAACATTCAAACGTACTATGTTTTTATTTATGTCGTAATAATTTCAAAAAGTTAAAAATTTGGCTCATTACGACCTTGACGTATACAAATCCGTGTGATTTGTAGCAGGTGATACAGTTGAACTAAAATCAAGTAGGTAGGTCTTGGATAAACGAGACGTCAAATCTAATCCCCCTGTTCCCCCTTTTCTGAAAGCTGTTTTAGTTATTCCAGTTCCAGAAAAATTGTATGTTTTATTTTAAAAGTTCAACTTTGTTTCCAATTTTTAGGCAACCAGTAATACTCACCTACGAAATAAGACAAATATTTAAAATAGCAATGTGGTCAAACCGTTTATTTATCTAAAGGGCTCTCTGATTAAAATTCATTTGAATCAACCGTTATATCTCCTTTAATTTTCTTTTAAACTCAGTTTTTACGACGTAAGTAATCTTCTAAGACAGCTAATAACGCATATTGTATTATTTATGGTATTGAGTTATAATTCTTGTTTCATATTTATTTTTGTTCTAGGTGGTCCCAAACACACAATTTTAAGTCGTCGCAGCTTTCACAGAACTTAACAGACAGTCGACTTTCACCTTCCACAATATTATTAACTAATTCATTTGCTATTTATTATTCAAACTAGCGCAATTAGTAATTAAGTTAGGTATATTAATAATAATTCACTCATTTTCATTAATTTTAAGCTTAAACTGTGAACAGTATTAAGCAATTCATCGACTATTATAAAATCAGCTTTGCATTTGACACTAGACAGCTTTTAGTGTCACCTTTCGGTCCGCCAGACTCGTGTCCCCATCGCGGTCACAACATCTCTGCCATCGCTAGGGCTAAGCCTGGTTTAAACGTACCCTAAATGCTCGAAGTCCAGTGTTTGCCAGAATACGAGACCCACGTCCATGAGGGATCTGGACCGCTACTCGATAAACATCGTGCCTTCTCTGCAATTTATCTCCAACGGATCTCCGGATGATGGTTGTCTTGCTGGGCTATCATACCAGTCCGGGCTTAGCCCAGCTGACATTCGTTACAGAGAGATCTTGTTTAGAGCAAATCGAGGAAAAACGCATGGTGTATATCCAGTAACTGACCGCGGGGTGTATACTACAGTTCTAGAAAATCAGTTCGGAAAATCTCTCCACCTGCCTCCTTCGCGTAATGTCTGGCATAGAGTTTCATAAAAAAATACAAAATGGTCAGGTCGTGGAACTTGTTCGGATCATTTCGAGAAAGGGGTTAGTGGAGGGTGGACTCGAGCTGTGTTAAGGCTAGCAAATAATATTCTAACTCAAAAAAATATTATATTCTCATCATCCTTATTATTATTATTTTACTAGTTTTCTTATTTGTTTTAATGTTATTAATATAATATTTCCACTATTATTATTATTATCAATTTCCTAATTGTGGCTTCCTGTCAATCGTCATGGGACTGTATTTTGGCAGATGGTCATTGTTGCAGTTCCTGATGATGAAGCTTTTAAAGGTGAGAAATGTATCTTGGTTCTTATATTATTTTTGAATTTTACTTTATTTTTAAATGCTTACCTTAACGTTTTCAATTCTCTATTTATTTTCTTTAGCATTTACACAGTATTTTTTACAGACGGATGTTGCTGCAAAGTACAATAAGAAAAGTTCAAATCTGCTTTTCCACTTTTAATCTCCCTCCCAGTGAAATTTCCTGCATGTTGTGCTTGATCGTGATGCTTGGTGTAGCTGCTTGGAACACTTATTTTCATCCTAAGAACGAAATGTGTAAGTAATTTTCTCTACTTTGCTTGTGTTAAGTAAATTTAGATTGAAAAATATTTGTCAATCGTGTTTTCAATATTTTCAGAAGCTTTGTATCTAATTTCGGTAAATTTGTTTATACCTAAGAAAATGGATGGCTTCCTCTCAAACAAAATTTTTCTGTATATATTTGTTTTAATCCCTGATATACAACGGTATACGTTGTGCTTCAGAAGCGAGGGAAGTTCATTGCAAATGACTTCATAAATTTTTTGTTGCAGTTGCTGCGAACTCTTCGATGATTCGAAATTTTCGACTTCCAAGATTTTCTATGCGGTATTTAGTATTATTTATTTTTTAAATTAATAATTCGTGTTTAATTGCTAATTTTAGTCAACTAAAGCACTCTTGTACTGTCAATTTAACATTGGACAGTTTAAATTTGGTTCCAATGTGAAAAATTATGATTATGAACCTGCTATTTTCGATTAGATGCGTCCATTTAAAGTATAGAAAGTTATTGTTACCAACTAATTTTATATAGAAATTGATAACTTTTTAAATTATTTAGGCTTAAATAGGTGTTATAACGTATTATTGACGCTGTTGTAGTTTTTATATAACTGTCCATGTTTGTAAATTTGTAATTTGTGGAAATAATAAAGTTTCGTTGTTGTTGTTTTTTGTAAGAAGAGGAGAACCATCGCTACATATTGTAGCAGAAGAAGAAGCCTAAATAGTAAGTGTACACTTTCATTTTGTTTTCTGTGTTTTATTATTACAGTGATTTTTAACTTACTCATTCTTCCTTTGATTCTTTAATCTTGTCATTGTAACAATTTTGGCAACAAATGGTTAATTATTTAAAATTTGCTACACTTGGTCGTTTTTTTATTAAGCTACAAACAATTTGAATTAATTAATGTGAATTAATAATTTAATATTTTGATTTATGCCACCAACAATACAGCTATTACCAATAATTTTGATTTATCGATCACTTAACAATTTTGTGTATCAAATATTGTTAAATTGATTAGGGTTATTTAAAATTCTCAAGTTGTTATTTTATTGACCACGTGAAAGTTTTAGTTTTGTAATATTAAACGTTGTTTTACTGGTTGCCTAACATTCTATTGATATGTATATTTAATTTTTAAAAATCGTTCCCAGAATATTCTGCTGATCTGTTGTCCAGTTACGAAATTGGAATTAAATTGTTGAGTATCATTTGGCATATTAGCAGACCATTAAATTAATATTAGCGCGTCTGTTGGCAGTAGTTTTTAACCAAAAATGTGAACTTTTCTTGCGTTTCTGTTGGTATAATGGAAGTAATCCTGTGACAGATATGTCAGTCGTTACATGGGACAAATTTAGGTTTATGTTTTGGATACATTTTGCAAATTAAAATTCTTGACAACTGACAATCAAAAATCCAGGTTTGCCAACAAACTCAGTCATTTCTGATTACTGCTATGACAAAAATTAAAATCGATAACTGACAGTTTGTCAGAACAACAAACATTGTTGAAAAATAATAATTGACAAGATTCCCAAATGGAGTAAAAATATTTTGAAAATATGACCAGATTTAAAAACTTTTGATTTGTTGGTTGCCTAACCGCTCAGTCAATATTTTAAAAATTTTCTTAAGAAAATTTCATTTAAATACCGCGGTACCAGAAATGATTGATGAGTCGATACAGTAGTACTTTTTAAACAAGAATGTGAATTTTTCTTATGTTTATGTTGACATAATGGAAGTAAATTATGTAACACATATGTCAATCGTGACATGCGATAAATTTAGGTTGTGTTGGATACAGTTTGCATATCAAAAATCCAGGATTGCCAATATACTAATTTCTGATCACGCGGTATATTGGCTATTCTCAGCGAAATTTAAAACAGAAGAAACAGGAAGTAAGCTTTCGTTAATTAATCCTTAATTTAACTTTTGTTCTCGTAATCCGTCAATTTCAATTAAAAAGTTACTTTGCATAGGGGTAATCAATAATATAGTGGTTGTTAACAGAATTTTGATATCATTTTAGTAC